TAAGTTGGGTGAACGGAGGGACAGATTGATAGGCTAGTGTTTGCTTCTTGAATCAACACCGAATACATAGAATTGGAATGATTGATTCTGCAGCTATCCCAGTTATTTGTCATCATGAAGACGGCGAAAGAATTAGGACAGTATAAAGTCTGTCTTAAAGTTACCTGACATGAAAATGGACAATAAATTGTGTCCGAGACAATGTTATCCAGTGAATGATACTGTTTCCTTACTGTGTACCAGTTCTGATAAACAGAATAGAGTGGAAATATGACTGTCGTAATAGGTGGATCAAAATAATACTAATAATAATCACTCGTAGAGAAGAGATAATTCAGGGGAGAGAATTCTCTTTTTCGACGATATCATTTTCTAAAGCTGTACAATAGTATTCATATATATCATAAACATATAACAGTCCATTATAAACAATAGAGTATAATTGCTACATCAGTAACTAGTGCTAAAATACAACCAGAATCAAGAATGCAAAGTAGTCGCCTAATAATCTGAGACAGTAGAAATATCGAGGAAGGCAAGGAGTTTGACAAGGTGGAAATTGTTGGTAGATAAGAAACGCAAATATTGAGTGTCCACTTGACAGCAGATAGATGTGAGGAAGGTGAAGAATGAGACAAGGGTCATAATGAAGGTGATAATAATAAACTAATTGATTATAATGAAATGGAAGATAGAATGTGAAAGTGTTAAGACCATGGTAAGATGAGAGATTGAACATACTTGTTTTGCAGGCAGCGATGAGGTTTGAATTGATGAATTGCCAGTGCCTCTGCTGTGCACAACTGTCGAAGGTGTACTTCTTTTCAACTATTCTATCTGACACGATAAATGACATTGAAGGAAGATTCTGGTCTGGTGTAGCTTTATGTCCAGAGTTGACCAAATGTTGAGAATGAACTGTTAATTGATTTACATTCTCACCTCGACAACGATTCAGTTCAGTGTAACATTATCGTGAGCATTATCAACAATAGGAGAATCAATAACAACTCTTTGTTTAATAATTCCTGTTTACATTTTCTATTTTCCTGTTGTACGTTTGTTCAAAGAATGAAGGGTAGCGTTTTCCTATTTATTTGTTGATATAAATGTTTATCTAAATGGAGATGATAAACGCCTTGTTTGATCCCACAGTTTGCAAAGTCATGTATATTCAATCCTCCAATTACCATTTCCCTCTTCATCCCATTTGAAACTGGTCACATACACACCCATCCATCCATACACACATACACAAACAGACAGCGTGAGAGAAGAGAAGCTGAAATCGGCATGCATTAGAAGGCGTTTCCATCAATGTACACAACATATGACAAATGGATAAACGAAGCTGCTTCAATCAATATTCACATACCTATGGATATGTGATGGTGGAAAGTGTTACCGATTGCTATGCAAATTACAAGTCGCGAAAAATAATAATAATGACAATTGATACCCGTCACATAAGAGATAGTCGTCGTGTCCCACTGGTTTCAATGAAAACGCTTTGCCATTTGAATCGGGTGTACTTTGGTTGCCACCTGAAAGGGAATAACACCACTCATTTACGTGCAGGCTCATCCAGCTGACGTTTACCACACTGGATCGAATGTGTAGATTAGATTGGATTCCACTGAAAACCACCAATTACACCACAACATAATGAATACGCTGTCAACATGAAGGCATCCTCAAAGACCACCCTCCATCTGCCAACAGAGGTCGTTCAATTCATACCAGAATAGTAGGGTGAAATTATAAACACCAAAAACTAGTGAGTTGCATAAATTACAAATGGAGGGTAGAATACCTCGTAGACCAGAAATAACATTTTCATATGTTGTAGGTGATCAGCACAACTTCTATATTCACTGAAATCATGAACACACGCACACATATGAATTCTGTATTCCACCAATAGTTATCATTAATTGTCAAGTAATTCGCTCCAGTTTAATGTCACGAAATCAAACTTATGAATAAATTGAAGAGATTTGAAGGAGTTTGTCCGTCCAGCATGACTGATTGCGAAGACCAGAGAGAGAGAGAGAGAGAATGCCAATGTCAAATTGTAAACTGCTGACAGAAATTACTCAGAGGTAATGAGAAGGGAAGAGGCAAGGATAAGTTAGTGAAAACTGGAATAAGACGTCTAGCAACAGTGAGAATAACAGTGAGTGTTTGTAGGCTGGATACAGGGGGTGATCATCTCGGTAGAGGTAAGTTATGTGGACTGTCAGAGGAAAGAAAGTTTGTTCATTTGGTTCACGATAACTTCTTTTGTATGTGAAAGACAATCTCGTAGAATATGAGTTATATATTGAAACAAATGTAATGCTGAACTCAAACTCATTATGCGTGTGTACTTAGTGTCGAACACCAAGAATTTCCAATAATCTGCAGACACACATCATCAACAGCTGCACCTACACTCACTCGATACTGAAGATCAGATCAGAATGCCAGAATGATGAGAATGAGCAACAAGAAACTCTGGCAGGCAGGCAGGCGGGTTGGCTTGCTGGTAGACTGACTGACTGACTGACTTCATGGAGAACAAATCATGAGGAGATCAGTTTGCAATGCCACGCATCACCAAGGAACAGAGTAAAGAATGGCAGTCAACTCAGTTCAACCCCAACTTCATCGACTTTGAAAAGGCCTTCGATCGAGGCGTCGATCGAGAAGCAGTAAGGCAGGCAGCTGCTTCAACATTACGGAATACCACAAACCTTCATCAACCTCATTCAACAGCCATATGAAGACGCCACATGACAAGTGATTCACAATCGAAAGCTCAGTGACGCCTTTGAAGTTAAGGCAGGAGTAAGACAAGGCTACAGTCTACTATCACTGATCATCTTCCTGATTGTGGTCGACTGGATCATGCAGCAAACAGTGAGGAGAGACAAGATGGGTATACGCTGTTTCACAGACAAAAAGACCCTAGAAGATTTGGATTTCACCAATGATGATGACTTATATCTAATGTCTCGTCGGACAAACTCAAAGATCTACAGGCGAAAACTAACAAGTTGACAGAAGAGGCCAGGCGAGCTGAGGTGAGGCAGCGAAGACGGGACTTCAAGTGAGTGTAAAGACGGAGGTGATGAAGATACCCAACCAACAGCAACAAGCACCAATCAATTTCAACGGGATAAACCTAAAGGAAGCTATCTCTTTCACTTACCTACCTAAGCATCATCGCTTCAACTACAGGCAGCGCAGACACAGATGAGGATATCAGAGTCAACCAAGATCGGAAAAACAGCAAGACAGGCTTTCATTAATCTGAAATCAGATTGCAGATCTACTGCACTCAACATAAAGAACAACATCCGGATTTTCAACATTAATTCAGTCAAATCAGTGCATCTATGTGATATGTGAGAGGCTTGGAGGGTCACAAAAAGCAATTCCAACAAACTACGGACATTCATCAACAGCTGCCACCTACACTCACTCGATACCGAAGACCAGATCAGATGGCCGGAAAGAATAAGCAACGAGGAACTCACTCTGGGAACAGACCAACTAAGAACCCATAGTTCAACAAATATGCAGAAAGAAGAGGAGATGGATTGGGCATACACTGAGAAAAGTGCCAGGCCAGGCACTTGAGTGGAAGGCAAATGGGAAACGACGAGTTGGTCGTTCGAGGTGAGGGTGACATGGAGGATATCATGTGAGGAAGAGTGTTAAATTTACGGAAGTCGTAGAGCCATGTTCAAAAACTGCAGAGAACAGAGTGGAATGAAGATGTGCTACTGAAGCCCTATGTTCCACTAGGAACCTAAGGGAATAATAATAATAATCTGCGATTTCACTCCAATTTTTTGTTCTCTTCCAATTTCAATTCCCTTCTTTATATCCATGCATATTCCAACGCAAACCTGCTTGACCAATCTTATTAGTGTCCGAAAAGCATCCAAGCAATGCATCGAAACGAAGAGGAAATTTCTTGCGAAAGCATTCTTTTGACACACCCACAAACTGATAGGTGATAATCTACAAATCTTCCAAACTGTTAGGCTTCATTTCATTCGTCCGTTCGTCAAATAATCATTTTGTTAGCTGTACCACCTCACCGTGGGCGGATTTGTATCGCCCGCATCTCACCGAAGTCTACATCACTTTCGAGACCTGAACACAACTCACCTCCTCGAATTCAGAATCGTTTAGGTGGCCTGACCAGTGAACCTGTGATCCAGATCGGGTCACAGGGCTGACTCCATTCGGGCTACTAATTTAAAGCTAAAGCTAGGACTAATTACTCCGACATTCAGGAACCAATATCACTCACCATCACCATCACACCTTGTCCATTGGACTACAATAATTATGGGAATTAGTAAGCTGGATTCACCTCACCTATCAGTTCCACTGCTCCCATTGCACTGCGTGGAATCCGGACAGCAGAAAAGCCTGTACAAGGACTGGAAAACCTCTGACAATTATCAGTTGATCAAGAAGACAAATCACTATAAATCGTGCAGGATGTGAGCCCTTTCAAAGTGACTTATACACACATGGTACATCAGAATGATATATTTTGTTCAATGGGATAACCAAATTATATTTCGGTCGGTCAGTCTTTTGTGATGGGAAATTATCAAGTGTAATGTATGACGTTTTCATCTCCATGTTGCACACTTGTTTTCATTGTAATATGAATGACTGATTGACGCAATTGAGCTGAACGTGATGAAGTGATCAACACGTGATTCTGCATTCATGACTTATAGAACGAATTGGGTCATGTCGTATGACAGTGGTATCCTAGATGACCTTTGTAATATGACACTGACACTCATTCAAATGATGATGACTGACCACTTATTCACAACTGAAAATCAAGTATAAAATCAGGAGAGTTGATTGTAACGCTGACCTGTTAAGGCATCAGCTGTTGCATACACATCACAACTTGTAAATATCATTCCACTTCTTCTCTACTGCAAGCCAACAAATTACTATCTAGACTCTGATGTCTATTCATGGAAATGCTGTTCATCTTAAGTGTGGTGATTTCAATTCTACTTTGTACCACAACACTTTCAACTGGCGTTTATCTTGACTCTCATCTGAATAGTGTTTCACTGAGAGGTTAGTAAAAGTGCATTGATATATTTGACTATATATAGTATGCATATTATGATTGATGAATTAACATTCAGACTATCACTTCAATGTTAGCTGATTGGCATTAGCTTGAGTGTTTGATTACCCAACTGATTGATTGACTTACTGACTCACTGAATAAACGAGGTGAATGTGGAGATTAGATTAGCATCAGGCATAATTATGTACTGAGTATGAGAGACGAATATCACGTGCAACTCTACATTGGATACTTGTACTCAGTGTGAGTATTTAGGAGATATTTTGTTTTCAGACTGAAATTCGTCATATCTTGTTCTTCAATTACTGGGATATGCATAATTTACACACCTGAGAATGATGAGCAATTGTCATGTAGACGGTGACGAACAGTCTCAGTGTAGTGTGTAGTCAACTCGATGCATGCTATGTGGGAATGCCTAGTATTCTCTCCAAGTCTGTTGCACATATTTCTCATTTCGTTGGATGGTGTAGGTGAACGGGGCAGACACCGACACAGATTGTTGCAATGAAGTGGATAAATTCACTTCTCTACACTTCATGGAGTCACACAGAGGAGGATAATATGAAACGAATGACATTGAAAGTTGATGGAATAACATGACAGGAGGTGGATGGAATCAGTAAACGGAGGGTAGTGAAAAAGTGTGGATTATATTAATAAGATAGAAAGTAGGATTGCCTTCATCCTTATGATCTGTTTTAAGCCACATCATTTAGATCCTGTAACCAGTGAATGCTAGTACATTGAAGAATTCACACACGTCATCTTGCCTCTTTGAGGCCCACTTCACACAATATTTTGCAGATTTGTCTTCCAGGTTCGATTATTCTGACTCAAAAGTGAGAAAATTCATACTGCGGACACCAGAGAACCGTGCTGTTGGTAGGAGTGTGATATTATTCACTCTGACCTTCACTGATCTTTTCACCTTCTTATTGGGAAGGCACCATCAGCATGGGCTGTTGGTCATCACAAGGAACCACCTAACTGCTGTTAAACCCCTTCCAGTCAGAAACAGTACAACTTCGCTCTCACACCATCATCAGAGTGTGGGAATTTACACTACAACGATAACTGATTTTCATCTGACCTCAATACAACACACACTTCCGGTATGGTGGAACCTACAGAGAATAAGCGTTCTACTGAAAAAGCTCGTCTCATCATTGTGATATGAGAGGCCCACCACCACGTCAAAGTAGCAGCTATCCATCATGTTATATTGACTGAATTATCACAAAATGAGTAGTTTGTGTGCCATGATACTACACTGTCATCTAGTCTTCATAAGCACCTTCGACAATATGATGACGGACTGGTTCAGTTAACCGTTTATTCAAACCATTGCAGGTGACCATTTAGGTGACATTTGAATCTTCTCTATTGACTACTGCATTCATTGAAGGGTCAGTCACCTTCAGCAAGCTGACGACTCGATTTACAAAGTGTAGACATTCGAAATTGGAAAGTATAACGTGACACCATTTCCACCTCACTTGGGAAGGGTATCGTGACTCAGTGACGTAGTGGGAATGTCGCTAGTATTCGAAGTGATGGATTCTGTATTTGAGTGTCAGTGGGAACAACATGGTCACTTACTTGAATGCAGGCAGTCACATCCAACTAATGTACCACAAATGTCACGAAATCCACACACTCAGTTCCACTATTCACTGTCAACAAGGGAATAATGCCATCCATGTTGAATGGATGCTTTGGATGGATCATTCAACTAATTTCCCTTATATTTTTCTCTTTCTAGACGATAATGATCGTGGGGAAGAGCAGCATCGATTACCACATAACGTGATTCCAGTATCCTATGATTTACTGCTCCAAGTTCATGTGCACAATATTCGTGAAGAAGAACTCTCTTCAATGGATCTGTCACTATTCAACTATATTGCCATGTGAATACTTACGTAATTGCTTTACATGTAGATGAAAAGTTGTATGTACACCCAAATAAAATAGAGGTGGGTTGTGAAATTTTCATATTTTGTCAAAATAATATTTATTCCCAACACCTCATTATTTGTTGTTCGAATCTGAATAGGTGGGAAGACTCTGAGATGCTTAGGGTGAAATGGTGAATTAGTGAAGAAGGAATAAATGAATAACTTTGTGGATATGTTACAAAGAGCATAACTATAATTATGCTACTTGGTAGAAGCAAAAGCTGCTTGATGAATGTGGTGGTTACTAGTCAAAAAGGACAATGTTGGTCTTAGTTAATGAAGATTGTTTCATTGATACTTGCACTTTCCTGTTGACTGTTGTGTTGTATTGGGTTGGATTAGACTGGATTGAACGTTTACTGTTATCATTTTGGCTCCTATGTCGATGGTCTGATACTGTCTGAAGACTAATTGTGATGTAATTTGTTTATTGGTGCTTGGTAGCCGAATCCAACATAGATCGATCAATTCGGTTCAGAATAAACATCAACTGGAAATTATACGCATCAATAAATGTCGGTTGATGCCTCATTTACTAGAGGTGGGTGTGATGACTCAGTAACATGGTGAATAGCACGATGGTGTTTCAAACGATGAATACCAAATATGAGTTTCTTTGGTAATAAATACCATTACTTGGTGAGATGTGAATAAATGTGTCAGATGAGTTTCGAATTGGATGGAATGCGCGTATTCGGTTGTAAATTTTTTATTGAGTTTCCATATGACTGACCTACCTAACTAACTACCACCACCTACCTACCTACCTACCTATCTACCTACCTACCTACCTACTTACCTGCCTATCTATCCGTCAACGCCTAACGTCCGTAGACAATACCATTGATCTTACATTTTTTACATTGGGCGTTATCGCAATAAAGATTAATAGAAAACAGCTCAATAAGGTAAAGTATGATGAAGAAATGCTGTCAGGAAGCTTATACACTTTCGTAGAGTATGCAGTGCACCACACATATTGTATCAAAACTGGCTATTTAAACCTCGGTAGACAGAGCGCTCTTCTCTTCTGTGATGCATCAACTGTCCAAACCAATGAGCAACAGCTCCATTAAACTGTTTCAACTGCCACACAGTCTACGCTATTATTGATATTTTAATCTCCACCTCATCTCATCTATGGAAGAGACACAGTCGTCTGATGCTAATCACTGTGTGTAATCATGTCAGCAAACACTCATGCGAAATGATATCCATAATTTGATGTTTCCCGTTAAGTGCGAAATAAGACAGAACTGCCTTTACTCAAGCATAGTTACTTGATGCTTGTGGCCTGATCAGAGTAGTGTTCAAGGATAATTCCTTGGAAATTCTACTGCACATATTATGATTCTACATTGGTGTGCAAAACAGTGAAAACGTTGAGTAGATTATCTGTGTTAAGCATATGAATGAAGAATTGAAGTTTTGATATGTACATGGATTGGCTATGTAAGTTGTTTGGGTAGTGAGCTAAAGGGGAGATAGAAACGAGGAGAGGCAGCATTTGATTCTCTCATTCATCATCGTCATCATCATCAATGTGAGCATAGGACCAGTCATTACCGCGTAACCGTCCAACTTGCCACACCTCATAACAGTACATCAAGTAAGAAGGCAGTGAAGTGGAAGATGAAGATAAGAAAATCCAGTCAAAAGAAATACGAAGTACGAGGAGAAAGAAAGGAAGAATGACGAGATGGTGAGATTCGGTATAGCGTCGTTAAGATGAGGATAATTTGTGTATACATCTGAGCCACTCACATCGGTTCTCAGTCATGTGATCACCTAGAGTCAGTCTCCAACTACTGGTTTCTCTTGTCCCACGGACCCCAACCACCCAGTCTGCATCGCCCAACATGGCTGGAACTAACAGTCAAACACTTCATACATTGGTGCTATGTTTTAGTCTGGCCACCTCGAGACTCAAGCCTTTTTACAGCCTGAACCAACGTACACCAACATTGTATGATGAGGCAATCGGCGGTTAGACATACGTCAACATGTGTCGGAGCCAACCATCTCAGTCGATGAAGATTCATAACCTCGTCAACTAATTTACCTCTTCTCCCTCCCTAAAACTCTACACCTCAGCCTGACTTCTTCATTACTCACATGGTGACACCATGGAATACTGCCTATACTACGAAGGTAACGGTGGTTAAACACTTGAAGCCAGCCTTCTCATGTCTTCCACCTTCAGTTGCCACGTTTCACAGCCACACAACAGAACACACTCTTACTGCTGTGCAGGTGCAGTACACGCCACCCTTAATAGACAATCGGATATCATGGCGGAGCCATAGGTGGTGTAAGTTGGCGAAAGCCAATCGAGCCTTTTGTATCCGGGCAGAGATTTCATCGGCCACTAAGCTAACCACCAGGGCACGGCTGATCCTACTTCCGAGGTAAGTGAAGTGGTCGGCACACTCAACCTCTACACTCTCTACTGTTAGCCGTACTTGGACACCGCTGCAGACCAATCCTGGAGCAACGATTCGCATTTCGGTGGTGAGAAACGCAAACCAAACATTCTCAAATTCCCACTCAAAGTGTTCGCAAGACTGTGCATCTCATCGGTCAGCGTCTTCACCTAACATGACTAGACTATGTCATCTGCATATTCTAGGTCTAACGTAAATTCTCCTGTGATTAAGTCAACCTCTGTGTAATCAGGCGATGAGAGGGAAACCTCCATAAGAATATCTATGATAAAATAGAATAAGAATGGAGAGAGTGGGCATCGTCGATGGACACCACTCGATGAGCATACCTCCCTCGACATCTCACAGTGGGCTCTAACATGCCCACGAGTTTTCGAGTAGAAAGCCTTCAATAAGGTGATGTACTTACTCGGCACACCTTTCAGTGACAGACATTGACATAAGACTTCTCGATCAACAGAGTCGAATGCCGCCATCTCCAGGTCGAGAAATACAGCCAGTGTCGGGCGTCAGTAAGCGTGCCTATGTTTCAGGACCTGGCGCAGTGTGAATATTTGGTCGACACACCCGTAGCCACGTCTAAAGCCTGCTTGGTTTTCTCGGGCTTGCTGTTCCCGAGCTCCACTCAGTCATCGAAGAATTATAAAAGCTAGAATCTCTGACACTATGTTCGTCAGGCTGATTCCTCTGTGGTTATCACAAGAGGAATTCTAGTCTTTCTTGAAGGCTGGAATAATCAGTGATTTAGACCAGTCACAGGGGATCGTATTTGATTCCCATATACTGGTTAACACTTCCTTCAACCTGACCAGACCAAGAGCACCTTACCAACATCCTTGTATACCTCAGCAGGTAGTCTGTCTGGTTCTGCCACCCTTCCTCGTTTCAGGTTACCTACTGATTTCTCGATTTCTGCTGGTGATGGAGGGCCTATTTCAGTGTTCCATTCGACATCCGACTGGATAGTGGGCAATGCAATGGTGGGTGGAGGTCAGTTAAACTGCTCCTCAAAGTGTTCTGCCCATCGTTCCAGTCGTCTCTCCTGCAAGTGAGTCGCAGATTCATCCTTCTCCACTATAGTCTCACTAACCTCAGTTGACCTTTTCTCCCAGTCTCCTTTATAAGTCTAAATAACTATCTACTGTTACCAATCACTGCTGTCTTTTCCATCTGTTTAGCCTTCGCTGCCCACCACTGTTCGCGGTCGTTGCGTAGACTTCTTCTCAATCTACTTTGAAGTTGTGCTCACACTTCATTGTACTCAGAGCCTGCAGTCAGGGGTGTGTTCACGTGCATCCATTAGTTCGGAAGAAGTTGCTGATATCCACTGGCTCTTTTAAGCAAGTCGGCTATGGTCTTCAACGCTGCTCTAACAGCAGACTGAGGATGGCACCAAGCTTCTTCTAGATGAGTGATAGTCTTCTGTTCCGATAACTGCCTATCTAACTTCTCACTGAACACAGCTTTGGTGTTTCCGTTGTCGAGCAGCACTCGTAGTGGTTTTGTAGCCAGATCTTTCTTACGTCCATTGAGAAGCAGACATATGCGCGTTCGAACCAACGTGTGGTCACTATCCAAATACGTACTCCAGAAACAGCGACAGTCTCCCACCGATCCTCTCCATCGATGAATGATAGCAATGTCGTCTATCTGTGTCCATCGCTGGGTTGAACTCGGTGGATGCCACATCAGACAGTGTCTTTTCTTATGTCTTAAATTTGTGCTACCTAAAAATAGGTGGTTATCTGAGCATAATTGTATTAGGCTATCACAGTTATCTGTACATTCAGACGGGATTCCGAAAGTGCCACCAAAGTGCCATTCCGCCTCACTCAGTCTACCCACCTGTGCATTGAAGTCACCTGCAACAACCACCACTTCCTGGCGTTTGAATTTCAAGAGGAGGCTAGATAGTTTTCAGTAGAACTCGTCCCTCAATTCATCCGAACTGCAGTCAGTGGGTGCGTAAGCAGAGATTACAAAGAGACAATGACGAGTCTACCTATTCCTTTTAGTTCTCATAGCGCAGAGGCGACTATCAACTGGTTACCAGTCCAGTAGTGAGTTTTCTGCCCTAGTGCTTGATGCTATGCCTACACCTGCAAGACTGCGAGAGCTGACGTATTGTAACCCCTGTCACTCGAGTGTGAGTTCGAGTGAATATCTTTATACTCGTCCAACCTACTCTCTTGGCACCCTTTTCACAGTCAGACACAAGGGAGTCGAATGAAGTTGTCAAGTCAAGGGGGGAACGACAATCTCTTACTTCAATGAGTATTCATGAGAGGTATGAGAAATTGAACAGTTGAATGAATTGCCACTCCGTAATTATACTTGGTAGTAGAACGAAGAGGGTATACTGAAATAAGAATATCAGAGGTGAATAAATCTTCGCATTCCTTCAATCAGTGGTTCTTTATCACTTCAATCAATTTAATAAAAATCTGTTTGTTTAGCCTTACTTTGGTAATTATGTTCTCCTCGAACTTGTTATTATCTTCCATTGCTATGATGATGATGTGATTATTCGTCAAACTGGCCGACGCCAAGTAGAATGCCTACATGTTCTGTGTGCAAACATTAACTAATCATGTTATATAAAGTAGGTGTAAAAAATATGCAGAAAATGAATCGGATCAATAAAAGCAGTAGGCGATCTGATCGAATTGTAAGCAATCACAGTGACAGTTTGATAAATCAAGGTTATTCGTTAACTGACTATTATTCGACTTCTCATGTGAGTATTGGTCACTCAAAGAATTGCTGAGATAACCAATCACCTTTATTTGCTTTATGAATGAACACATTGGCAGCCGAAATACGGAAAGCTGATTGGTTACTTCAGTAGTTGATGCAGTGTCCTGTAAGTTCAGTTGACTTCTTATTAAATAGGGCAACAAAGATAGTGAAATTCTACTTTTAAGAAAATATATTATCATGTCTGAGTTACAGTACAATTGACTACAAGGTGGATTATTTGCTTTATTTCTACTTGTACAGGTATATCGTTTGAATAAATCTGGTGAAAGGGCGGAAGAACTTGAAGTTGAACATGATTTTCGATATGAGGATACTGACCTGTATTTTATAATACTTGAACCTCAGTTAAAAGCCAATAACTATTACGAATTAGTTTTTGGACAGTTTAGTTCATTTGTAGGCAGTGAAGTAGCCGGTTTCTTTGTTGTCAAATACATGGAAAACGGTTCAAAGAAGTAAGTTTTTCCATTCAACTTCAAACATCTTGTAAATTTTTCAAAGTGTAAGTGAAACCAATGAATGCATAGCAGCGGATAGTGAATTCTGACACCATAAGTCAATGGCTTACTTACTTACTTACTTACTTACACATCCACATACTTACACACTTACTTACACATCCACTTATTCGCTTACTTACTTACCTACTTACACATCCACTTACTTACTTACTCATCCACTTGCTTACTTACTTACTTATTTGCTTACTCATCCAAAAACTTCCTTACTTTCTTACTTACTAATCCACTTACCTACGTATTTACTGACACACATACCTACTTACTAACCTGCTTACTTACTTACTTACCTACTTAGTTACTTACCCAATTATTTAATTACTTACATGCTAACACATCCAGTCAGTTACTTTCTCATTTACTCATCCAATAAATTACGTACTTACTCATCCACTTACTTTCCTAATTAATAATCATCCGCTTACTTACATACTCATCCACCTACTTACTTACTTACTCATCCACTTACATACTTACTTACCTACTTGCTTGTTTACATACTCATCCACTTGCTTACTTACCTGATTACTTACTCAATTACTTCCTTCCTTCCTTACTTGCTTGCTTGCTTACTTACTTACTCACTCACTCACCCACTCACTTACTTACTTACCTACTAACTTGATTACTTACTAATCCACTTGCTTACTTACCTAATCACTTACTCAATGACTTGCTTACTTGCTTACTTACTTACTCATCAACTTACATACTTACTTACCTACTTGCTTGATTACTTACTTATCCACTTGCTTACTTACCTAGTTACCTACTCAATTACTTGCTTACTCACTTACTTACTTACCTGCTTTCTCAACCAGTAACTAGCTTACTGATATATACACTCTTACTTAATTACTTTCTTACTTACTTACTTACTTACCCATCCACTTATTTACTTACTTAATTACTTACTCATCCACTTACTTACTGACTTACATTATGACACTCATTCAACTGGTATATTAACACATATTCACTGACGGAAGCTGATCATTATTAAAAACAATAGCGGAACGTGTCACGTTTCATAACCATAACTCGTAGAGCCTGTATAATCTTGTTAATCATCAGAACATAGGAACGATTATGTCACATCCCATTTTACTTGTCAATTCAGATGTACGAACAGAAACAGACACTAATTAGAGTATTCAACATCCATCAGGTACTTTTACATTCTTCATCACAGTCACTAACATTGCTGTCAGATTGCACTCGATGATAATCTCCTCATTTTTCATGTTGCATGACATTCACAAATATGGAAAGAAATTTGTCCACCCACAAATTCACTGAAATCATGTCGAGAATAACAGATGACGAAACTCAATTTCTTGCTGATCTGACAATATCACAGTTGGTATTCACACTGATAATTTATTCCTTTTGAGAAGGCGAAATGATGACTCTTCACCCTCTCCATTCGATGCAAACCATTCCTTGTTTGAAGATATTTCACATGAAGGATTGATATAATGCAGATAACCACTGGAAATCAGGGGATATCTGGAAACTGTCTCTTCTGCTTATGGAGACTGTTCAACAGAGTGAATTCACAACCCAGAATGATATTCTGTGACGATTGTGAGACAATATTTTAGACTTCACAGTATGTATTCTAACAAGACTGATACAATAATATCTGAGTTACATGAATTGACCAGTGAACTATGGATACTCAGTTAATACAACCTTATTATCGACAAGCTCCTCTGTTCAACCCGTTGGAACAGCTTTCCTACAGGCTGGACAAAATTTACCAACAACTAGCAGTTACATTTCGCTGTCGGATGTGGGGTCGGCTTTATCACGATCTAAATGGCGCAGACTCAGTACTAGTCTGCCCATCTCGAGTAACTCACTTGCCAGGATCACGCGCGTCAATCAACCACCATCTAAGTGAAGTTCACACCAACCCTACGACTGCACTTCTTCATCAAGTGGAACAGTCTAACAGATTCTACATTTTACAAATACGATTTTCAACTTGGATTACTCCAATTCTACGAGGTCGATTCAGTGGACTGTCTATTATTCATAGACTAGCTGATTTGCTGAACTCAGCTTAAAAACATTTCAAAGACCGATAAGAGAGTGACTGTCTTGGTCAAACTCATGTCTGGACAGACCAGTCAAACACCCAACAGCCTGACCAACACTTCTTGGTGGGTAGGCTCACTTCTTACATGATACACTGATCCTCATCCATGATACCCCACAACTCATCATCTCATAATCATCACCAGCAGCAGCAGCATATGACCAGGTCCAACTGGCTACATCTCATGTCAGCACATCAAACAAGAAAGCACTAAGATGAAAGGTAAAGAAGTAGAGGAGAACCGGTGAAGAGCAATAGAAATCAGTTGAAGAGAGGAAGGAGTAATGAGTGAGAGCTGATATAAAGTATGAGGACTAGGATAAAGATGATATACAAACACATCTGCACCAGTGAAATCGATTCTCATCCACATCAACTAAAGTCTCCAACCACTGGTTTCTGTTGTCACGTGGACTTCAACTGGGGAATCTGTATTTCCCTACACTGCTCACACCGACCGTTCAAGACTTCACGCACTGATACCATGTTTTAGTGTGGCTGCCCCTGACCATTTTCCAGTCAACACATTTCTCACATAAGCATGTGCGATGAAACAGGTGTTTACTAGGTATGTGTAGCACATATCACATCTACCTCGGTCGAGGGAGGTTCACAACCTCATCGACTGACTGACTGACTGACTCTCGTATCCTCCCTCAGACTGTGCATCTAATTTCTGCATGATGACGTTGTGAAAACGCAACACACAGTTCATCTTACCAAGACAACACTGCTCAAATAACCGGAGCCTTCTCATATCCTCTTCGATGCAGTAGAACAGAACGGACTGCAGTGTATTCCCTCAATAGAAAATTGGTTAACGTGGAACAGCCTTTTGAGTCGGTGAAGAGATTTTGTTGGCCAATGATCCACTCAGACTGACCTGACTACACAAGTGAGTGAAGTGGATAACATAGTCAACAATTTCAATTGCAAGTGCTAGGTAGGGTGGTCACTAGTGAACACCAGTCTTCAGACAACAGTTAGCATTTGCTTGACGAGAAGCACATCACAAATATTCTCAAGTTGCCGCTCAAGGGTGGGAGAAGGGGGGGGTTCAGAAAATTCCATCTTGTCAGCATCTTCACGTGACAAGACTACGTCATCTGCGTACTCTAGGTTTCTTAAGGATGCCAGGCTAAAATTTCACTCAGTGCATATTCCTTAACAAATTGAGTTAGCAAGACGACCATCACTTTAAATGTGGAGCAGAGGATGATTCCTTCTCCAAGTCGAGGGCTTGTTGACCATTTTAGGAGCTTCGAAATGTATCACTAGAATACTCGAACCTACATTCATTTCATTTCTACATGTGGTGTATGCTACGGATAAGAATTCCTCCAAGTAGTATACAGTGTAGTGTTTTCAGCGAAATTTACACGACTACACAATTGACTGGTGGTATTCGTTCACGCTTATATTTCATAGTCAGTATATGACTTCAGGAAATTTAATGATTCATTAAACCGTCTTCAAAACATTTTTCCACTCCATCTCGTCTCATCTCATCTGATATATGGAAGTGAATTTTGTTTCATTATTACAGATATCTAGCCAGCACCAGGATGCAGCCGATCTATGCCAGACGCGTATTTCCATGTTGGGATGAGCCTGACTTCAAGGCACAATTTCAGGTGAGTAGTGGTTTTCAGACTAATCTGTCAAATCAATTACCTATTAACCTACAATCGCTTACACGTTATGCATTTCACAATCAAGGTGTCTCAGTCAACCAGATGCTGAAATGCATTCACAAATGTAACAGCAGTTTCCTCCTCCATCGACTAACATCAACTGATGTCTGATTGACAAACTTGAAACACTGGATAGGCATTTCATCCTCTTGTAGACTGTTCATCAGTGCAGACTGGTACCCATGTGAGGCATCAAGAAGCGGCTCACTCTGAGATCACTATCAACTTCATTCGAGGGATCTTCCCACGACTATTCATGAGGAACCATGGTCTTCGAAGTTAACTCAGTTGACTGTGATGACAACTACTCAGTCATGATGATCACGAATCGGCGGAATCGGGACATGGTAGAGAATCAGGTTTCAACTGATTGAGTGAATGTGAACATGCTGTCCTCTGGAATGGATGATCGTCAGCCTCATCTTGCACATTGGTGTGAATGTGAAATGCTGAGAATTTTGAAGTTGGGATAAGACAACTATCCATCTCTGCATAGTTAGTTGTTTCCCAATGACTCTCCAACAGGTTTCAGTGTGTGAAGAAGAGTATGCTGAAGTTGAGCTAGTCTACTCAAATTAGTCTGTTTTCATGCATCCAACTTCACACAAAACTGAATGGCATGTTGGTGAATAATATTTTCAAGAAGAATTAGATAGCAACTTTCTACACCCTCACCGTTTGATGTCACCAGATGACTATGATAAACTTCAGTGTTTCCATCTCTTGACATTCAGCTATTGATTGATTCACTGTACTCACTAGATGAGGTAATAGTCTGTGAACATTTCGTTCAACAGTTGTTACTCTTGAATGTTTCACTCAGTTCATTTGCACCAGTGAGAATGACACGCTTACGATTGAAACATGCTTCACAATTAAATGGCAGTTTTATTGACACGGAAAATAACATTGACTTTGAACTTGGTAATTTTTCCCATAATACATGACATGTTAATCTAAAGTGTTTTTCACGTGTAACCTCTATGAACACACAAGGTAATACGAATGACAGTTGGAAAACAGATATCATACAAGTCCAACTTCAACTAATGAATGCCAAATGTAACAACCAGCTGTTAGTGTGTTTTCGTTTAGCGGTTTGTGGGTGGATTGTTGTAGGGGTGCACAAAGAGCACTGTGAGTTTATCGGTGACCAAGAGGATGTTGAAACGAAAAACGTGAGCTGATGACTCCTTGTGCACACAGGATATACTTACATTTAGAAACAACAACAGAAAATCGACAAACACCCACACAAGTGCACACTCGTGCACACAAGGAAGAGATGAGGCAGCCTAACAATCGGAGCTGCAAAGTGAATGAATAAGCTTTCGAATTCATAACACACACCTTATGTTCACGTTTATATTGGTGGATGCAGAACACAGAGAAGTGGAGTTGATGGTTTTTGTAACCAACCTCTCATCAATTCACTATTTCTCATTGTGTATTTCAGATTAACATCTTGCATCACAAGGATTTCAATTCACTTTCAAATATGCCGTTGGAAAGCACTGAAGTAGTCAATAACACTTGGCATTTGGACAGATATCAGATGAGTGGAAATATGTCGACACATTCACTGGCAATTGTTGTTTCACAGTTGTCACCATTACACCGTAAAGATTCAAAGGGAAGAAATGTGAGTGAGTGAATGAATGAATGAGATTAGGCAAATCGCCATCTCCTTTCTAATGGTTATTTGTTTGAAAGTATTTTTCTCCAGTTCACAACTATCTGCAAGTTACTTCATTGTCAGTCTAGTAGTTGTAGCCATCTCCCAGAGTCATGTTTCAATTCTTTATCCTAATTTCAGTAGTTGGCATTGATATACACACAGACAGACAGATGGACAGACAGACGTTTGTTTCAGGCAATACGAAGGAATTCTTAATTGGCATCATATCATGAGACATGGGAACTTGTTAATTGTGCTTCAGTAAATGATTCTGCTGCATATGTGGAGGTTTATTTAGAAGTAAATAGTAACAAGTAGAGAAATCTGGTTGCAGAGTGCAGTCAGTATGAAAGATGATGGAATGAAAATTATAGAATGTGCGTATTATTCAACAGAGGAAAGTGATTCTAATCAACAGGCAGCTCTACCTACAAAAATCACAAGTCTCCTTGCCGAATGAGGGGATAACTGACGTGACTTGTTAAAATAAGCCTGCTGTAATTCACATTACTACCACTACTACTACTACTACTACTACTACTACTACTACTACTACTACTACTACTACTACTACTACTACTACTACTCACACTACTACTACTACCATCACCACTTCCCCTTTACCTGGACTGGACTCTGAATTCTCAGAGGGATTCGAATTTGGTCAGTAGAGTGCCAAACTTGGGCATGTGAGAGAGCAACATCTCTCAATCAGATGCTCTAATATCCAACTGACGACTCCTACACTGCATGAAATCCATCATATGGATTCCACTCCCTACCTCTATCCATCAATTAGATTGAACTTAAACAAACGTCAGTAGGATAGAATTCACAAAATAGCCAATATACTTATGGTGGATGGTCAGTTGAGTCGAATCAACATTCGAAAACTATCTGATATTACATTTGAATAGCCTCGTTTACAAAGATACATCCATTTGTCTTTCAACAGACTGTAGTGTTTGTTGAATTTCTATGACTCTGACATTCATACATTCAACAAGTAATCTGTAAAATACATGCAAACCATTTCTCTAACTTTTTCTGTTTCACACCCACATATATATATACATGTGAATAAAATAATCTCAGAGTTTTCTTTTCTTCATATTTTTCTCCGGGAAATACCTTCTTCGTTCGATTAGTTCACGGTATGGGCAAGGCGAGAAAAGCTCAACTTTACAAATTATGCACTAAACGTCACCAAAGAACTCATTGGATATTTTGAAGACTATCTGGGAATTCCATATCCACTTCGAAAATTCGGTGAGTTTATCATTTTGATGATCAGTTGATGAATTCTCGTAAAAGCTTTGGGGGAACAGTGTAGGTGGAATATAGATGAAGCTGTTGATTGATTTCTCATGAGTAATCACTCCCATAAAACCTGGTCAGAAAGCTTTCCGACTCACCTTCAAAGCTGGATTCAGTTGATGTCGGACGTGATGACAGCTGACTAATGCTTCGGCGTCTTCAATGCTTCTCAAACTGATGTCAGTCTGTGATCAAAATCAACTTGACATCAGTAGATTTACACAAATCTCCTACCTGAATCAACTGTCTTTTGTTATGTGCAGGTAATCAGTTTTTTGGAAATGACAGACATTCTTTGGTTTGGAGTTTGAACAAGCATGAAAGATGGGTGGAGTGGGGCTGCTTGCCGACTACCTTTAGCCAACTAACATCGTATTGAAGTGGATATACAGTTAACCAGATTTTAAAGTTAAATAGTAAGATTTGGATTGGGCTTGCAGTCAAGTCACGTGATATTGGTTACTCCTCATTAACTGGTCCCTATTTACTTCACTCCTACAGAAGGCCAACACCTGTTCTGATAGCTGAAACACACTATGAGTGAATGCATCACAGGGTGACTTGGAATCACTTCAGTGATGGAACACCACTATTCTGGAGGTTATAGACAAGTCATGCTGAGTAGTACTACCAAGTATGAAAGGTGGATGATGTGTGGTGTGGTGTGGTGTGGTGTGGTGTGTGTGGTGTGGTGTGGTGTGGTGTGGTGTGGTGTGGTGTGGTGTGGTGTCTATCAGTTCCAACTACCTTCCACTTTTTATTTCACTGACCGAATTACACTGAATTATACTCATGAACACTTGGAAGTTTTACATTAGCAATGACATTTACTGGTTTGAATGATTCTGTCACAAACATTGTTAAATATTGTGTAATTGGTGATGCTTAAGTCTTGCCTGGGTTTTCATCTTCTTTGTGACTCATCATCAAAATGCATTTCTACCCTCGGAGTTGTTGACTATCCTTTTCAGATTTGAATACATCACCCACCACTTCAAACAGACGATCGCTACTCAGTTGATTTTGATACCGTCTTAGCTAATTTAGTCAACAGATGACAGTACAGTGACTGCCAAACTCTTTTCCTTTCCCTCGATTCCATTATCTCTGCTTCCTATCAATGGAACCCCAACACATACCACACACTGAACTCCATCCTAGTAACGAGAGTCAGCGTTATACAATCTGACTCATTGTAGTGATATCAAATATAAATCGGACTGTTGACAGAAGCGGAAGTTCACTGACTTCAAAAGTGTATGATATGAAGCTGGAACTCGAAGAAAACATGAGTTTCCTCATGGTTGTGAAGATGCAAAATGCAGATGAGTGGTAATAAGCTGCAGCCACACCTAGTCCACAGTCTCTCTTCTCACTAGTCAACCCTGAAATGCAACACCCAGAGAAAAAGCACTCAATGTACCTCAGTGTTGAATAAAATCTCGTTAATTTTAAGTCAAGTTCGTGTAGACCTCCATCAGTTTAAGCCAGTCTTTGTGACATTAACTGCTTTCTCTTATATTCACTTACATGCTACACAGATTCAATATCGACTTACATCATTTGACACACTCTCCGTATGTCCTGTGTTCCTTACCGAAAAGTGATGATCTATCTAGCCTAGATGTCCATGTCGTCAGTAGGAGTGATGACAATTATGAATAATATCCTCTGGAGATAAGAAGTAGGTGGAAATATGGAGCAGGAGACTTGATAATTTGATTGATTGATTTTAGGAATTTATTGTCTTCGAAGCAGTTAACATGATGAAGTGACATAATTTAGTGAAGCATTAGAGACATGAGAGAGTTGAAGCGTTGTTTCGTCTTAGTATAGTCATTGTCTGTGGTGGACACTCACAACCCCACAGGTAATCGAATTGAGGAGCATAAAACTTCATGGCCAACTTGTTAACTCACAATCAACCAACAGGTTGAAACCACAACACAACGTAAACCTCAGTCACTTCTAATGACGAGTGTCTGTTCACCTATCCGACTTCCTCAATCCAACATGTCATGCATGGCACCTCATGTGGATTTCGAGAGATCCATCTCACTAATGATTGCTGGAGTTTTATGTAATCATCTTGGTTTTTTTAACTATTTATTGCCTTGAGTATTCTCACTGAAGCATAAGTGAAGAAGAAGAAGTTCAGGGGAAAAGGTTTCTTCTCCACGATATCATTCTCACAAGTAGTACAATCACATTTCAATATTCAATTCATCTACACATTTAACACTTATAAACAAAACATGAATATCTATCACTGAATAATTGAAAAGATAAGGAAAAGACAAGAGAAGTTAGTGAAGTTTAAGGATTAACAATGTTGGCAAGTGAGTGAGGAGAGTGAATTGAGAACTGGATTTTGTAGATTTTGTAGAGACTGACTTCCACCTCGACTCTCACTTGGCTAAGGCTTCATCAATGCATAATACACGTTCACTACGAGTTTTCGAAAGCCCCTTCTCAACTCTGTCGAGTATGCTACATACAACTTCTTAAATTATTTGTTCACAGTCGGCTAAGTACTTGCTGTATGATGAAGCATTCGAGTGAGTAGTCTGGGTATACACTCACTGAGCCGTATCAGATATTGTCGTACACTTTGAACAACTTGTCTGAGTATATGTCCTATGTATGTGACTCAATAGCAGCAGGGGAACACATACATACACGTTGAAGCAGCAAGCAGAGATAGTTTGTCCTACACACACATGTTCACCATTACGTCGCTAATCTATGAGTGATTCAAAATGTTATAATTAATATGAAATGCTCACTCAATCGACTTCATTAATTGATCTTTCAGAATATCACCTAATGTGTGTTGCACTTGAATACAGAATTCAATATTAGTTCTGTTTAATTCCTCACTGTGCATGTGTTTAAGGACTCTTCTCCACAGCACAATGTTTACCAGGAGATCTTTCTACGCATCTATTTCTGGTGAGATATGGAGAGGAGAAATTCATGGTGTACACTAATTAATTAACTGTTTACATGGCGTTTTACAACTTCTAAGAATGATGACACCACAGAAAACCACTTCATTCATTCACTCAACTCAACTCATTCTTCTTTTATTCATTTGAATAATGAAAGTAGTTTGCATCATAGTAATAGCAGACATCGATTGGAAGTCTATTGAAAACAGTGAGGATAACTTGTTTTCACTAGTGCACATTAAAAAAGATGTGGAACTCACCTTCATCATTTAGTGAGATGTGACTTACTTTCTCAAATTTTAGACATTATTGCAATGCCCAGGTGTGGAAGTGAAAATGGTGGTACTTTCGGTTTACTAACATATTCAGAATGTGACATATTATGGGATCCTGAAAGTGATCCAGTCAGTTTACAAGTCTGGGTGACTGGTGTTGTTTCAAGACAACTTGCTCATCAGGTTGGTTCTTTTATTCTTTTGTGTCATTGAAGTTTGCAGTTTCGCATACTAATGACCATTTCCATAGTGACGGTGTGTTGCCATGTGAATCCTGTAGACAGTCAAGGTTATCCCATTCAATCATGTGAAGGTGGGACAGGCAACAACAAAAGAGTTGAAAGTCGTGTAAAGCTGAAAATCAAGTTTTTGAGTTTGGCCCTCACACGAGTTAGACGACTGTTTGATGTTCGAATCACGTTGGTGTGTTTGGAGAGCTCCGACGATCGGTGTGACACTGAGTAGTAAAATTCAATCGACGTGTGAGCCGTTGGTGAGATACCTCGATATCGTCTGACATTTAGAGTTGGATGTCAAGGATAAGTAGTGGCTATCACTGGAATGTAGGGTGTGCATGCAGTCGGTTCTGGTTCATATTCCCACAGACTTGGTGGCACATGAATCTGATTGTCGAATCCAACAGAGGGCAAAATACACGCATCAAACCTCACTGACAGATAACATTCATTGAACACCACTGCTGAGAGTAGTAAGTAGTCAGGCTGAATCACGAATTGATGAAAGTTGTGAAATTTGTACCTTTGGATTCCAATGCATAAACTAAATGCTGATGTCCTTGTCTTGTGGGCTGGATTGCACACAGACTTCTAAATCTCTATGGTTTATAAGCCTAATGCTATAGCTTTGATTCATTGGTGACCTGAGTAAGTTGATGAGGAAACAGACATGATGTTATGTGGTCACTACTAGGAGGTATCCAACTCCACTCCATCTTGTGTATTACCAAGTAGATTCGCCGTATATTCCATCCACACACCACATGGGTTAATGGAAATCTGCTTACACTTCACACAGTTGAGTATATTGTGGAGTGATGGAGACACTGAGAACGCGACCACTAAATACTTACTCTAACACTCATATCCAGCATACAAACAGAATATTTGCATAACATGCTCAGACAACATGCACCTGTACGCCATAGATACTAATCATGATAACATTTTCCTACTCCATTCCTGTACACTGGAACAATGAGTAAGACTGTACGATAAGTTCACTTTGAAACACTTATCTCTCTCCTACACCATTGTCATATTGTCCAACAAATCTCGCTCATGCCTCTCTCTCTTTCTACATTCTAGTGGTTTGGCAATATTGTCACAATGAAATGGTGGGATAGTTGGTGGGTCAATGAAGGACTGAGCACATTGTTTCAATACATTGGAATGGATCATATTTATTCAACATGGAATAAGGTAGGTGAAATGCTTCCCAATCTGATTTCAAATCTTGATTGACGAATTTCAACACCATCACATATTCATTCCATAGCATTTCACAGTGTGTCATTGTTTAGTTAAAATCATGAATAACTAGGGAGAGAGCGTAGTACTTCACTGTTTGTAAAGGTATCGTCACCTCCTATTTCATCTTCACCCACAAAGTTTCACATGTAATATTTCCTATTACAAACATTCGAAATGTTGATGACGCAGACATGACAAGATGTAAGTGGATATTTGTGTGTGGAATGAATCAACCTTCACAACTATCAACACCTCAGTTGAATTACAACTCATTGCTCATGAGTGAAATGCCTCGAAATCGACTTGTCGAAAATGTCATATGAAACTATGACCTGTGAGTTGCAACCAGGCTGAAGGTGAAGACAGTCAGTCAGTCAGTCATCGATGATATGAATGATGCTTGTATTGTATCATGAACTGACAGATGTTGTGAATGATTAATCACAAGATGTTTAACAAAGTGGTTTACTGGTACTGTGCTGGCTGGACTAGATGCCTCACATAGATCTAGCTACACCCTATTCCTCAGTCATTCGGCTTGTAATATTCACTTAACTGATGTTAATTATTGGTAAAGTTTACTCTTTTACACTTGTACATTTTGCACTGTATTTCATCTCATTATTGATTCAATCAATTTCACTCTATGCATATAGGATGAAGCTTTTCAATTGTACGTTACACAGAGAGCTTTGAATGCTGATTCCACTGTAACATCAATTCCACTCGATCACCCAGTTCTGTCGAAAAATGAAATTGAAGATACTGTCTATTCCACAACATACAACAAGGTTTGTTTAGACTTTGTGTATTTTCTGTTCCTTTAGTTAATATGAGTTCATGTGGTGGAAATGACAATTTCACCTTTGAACTCGATGACCACAAGGTTTCATTGCCTAATAGTGCATCATTTTCCTTCTTCTTCTTCTCCTTCTTGTAAAGTGTTCGACTTCCAGGAGAGCTGCTCAAGAATGATTTCATTGAGCCACAATGTCGTATACGAGTGTGAGTGTCTGAAAACATGAAAACTGATGACTAGAAATCTATAACTGACTGAAGTATTCATTTTATTGATATTTGTACTCTCTTAGTGATTATTGCAGTGATTCGAAGTGGTTGGTTTCGCATTATATATTTGGTCTTTGAAGAGATGCCTCGATAATCCTTGAAGCCACATTATTCGATGGTATTTCATGTCAGCCTTCGCCTACATGCAATTTTCAAGGAACAAAATCAGCTCATGACATCACTGTATTGTTAATCTGAATTCACGTCACAGTGTCAACGTGGTTGCTCAACTGACTGACTGACTGACTCGCTGAGTCACTCACTCGCTCACTAATTCACTACCTACCTGAGTGCCAGCCTGCGATGAAATATTTAGTAATCAACTGCGCCTATGTGAATTACAACTTCGCTACAGATATTTCATCGTTGTATGCGATTCCTAAGCAGTACGCAACCATGACTGTGATGTTTGTTGAGGATCTCATCCAAAAAATACAATTGCAATATCTCTGGAAGGCAGGTTCAAGAGAATTCCTAAAAGCCGTGACATCCTCAGAAAAAGGCGATCAACTGACATGTGTATATACACGCAATTTACAATCAACTGAAGGAGGAAATAGCCAGCCAGCAACCAACATCGAATTCATCAAACAAATAAGTAACGATGTACTGGGTGGCATTAAAAACAAAAACATCTGAAACTCAGTCAAACAAAAACGATTCTCTTCCAGTATGGCTGAATGAAATGTAAGTTCAAAGAAGTCGGGGAGTAATAAAAATATCCACCAGAACTTACAACTGGACAACAGCTTAATATCCATTCACAATTTGAATATGTTTCATTCCTTTAGGAAATACTCACTGAGGATGTCAACAAGCTTGACGAGGAGACTTCTACGAAGATATAACAAGGTCCACCAAACACAAAACCATCATCCTCCTCACCCTCAACTAAATCTTTCTTTCATGAAACCATTATCACCATCAAGTTCCACCACTTGAGATCGACTTAATGATTTACAACATTTGAAAGCAGGATGAACCACCCTCCATCAGGCCAGAAATGTTCAGTGAGATATAATTGCATCACTTTTCGTCTTTTACAGGCTGCTTCTCTTCTACGAATGGTTCAATCATTTGTGGGACAAAATGCATTTCAAAATGGTATAAAAGTGAGTTAGTTATCCCTTTTTTCAAAGTGTGTATTCATCATTCCACTTCCTTCTCTGTCTCTGTCTATCTCGATCATGAATATTTTCACGTTGATTTTATTGTGTCAAATTGAACTAGGCGTCGATGTCGACTGCAATGAAGTTACGCAGTCACCATTTCATAAATTTAATAGACCTTTGGAAGTATTTTTCATTATGGCTTGGCATCACGTTGAGAACGAGTGAAGAGATGGAAGCACTAGACAGTTGTCTCGTCCTATCTCCAGACTCATCAGCAACACGATGTCAATCTGTGATGAGAACTACTTCCAACTCAGTCATTCCCTACAAACTGCACACAGAATTACTTAGACTTTCACGATAAATCAGTTAGTCCACCTGAGACAATTATCCTGTCTACGGCTTTTATACCACAGTGTAATTTCACGTGATTTCTGCAAACCATAAGTGGAGAGTGTTTCCATTACATGACATTGTAAAACTAGGATGGCTTGAACATCACTGCATATGCATATTCGAAGGATTTCGTCTCCAGTAGTCTCTTCCAGGAATTCTACCCAGTGTCGGTATAAGAAATGCTAAACACAGAGTCGAGTTATTCCTCCCAATTTCATAAGAGAATGAAAGGAGATGGTGAATAATCTTCGCTTTCAGCTAGTCCACTGGAAGAAGTTTCATATCTGACAAGATAGTGAAAAAGCGTCAGTCTGAATACTGAACATGGAGGTGTGAAGAGACTAGGAGACCGAACCGATTGATTGTTGGATAGATGGATGAATGGCATGACTGAGTGATGACCACTGATTACAATCAGCTTGATGACGCAGGCCTCCAAACAGAATAAACAGAAAAGCTTGATGCAAATCAATAGAATTACTCAAAGGTGATGAAATGACTGATGCGTTTATGAGTATACTGGAAAGAATTTTAATCACCACATTGAACACCTACCTACAAATATTGACCGAGTTGATTGTGGTGATCACATTTTGGCTACAGTGCACATCCTACACTTTACCTACAACCAATCTCTATCCACACGTTGTATTTGTGCATCAACAAAATACAATGGAACGTTGATACATCCTACCACTAATTTATCGAAATCTTGTTCAATGGAAACAACACTTTTTGGTAGAATTTAAAGTTTTCTTGATTGCAGAGCTTATATATTTGTGAAGCACCGACGATACATCATCAAACGAATCTAATGGTGTGACTACAACATGGTGTTGCAATACACACCATTTTTGCATTCACATATTAAAGATGTGAGCATCGACTCTATGTGGCAAACCACATCACACTGTATACTGACTGATTTCTCTCTCCCTGACAACAAAATATTGACCAGATTATTTATTGTGTTAGACTGATTCCAATTTATTTTCATGATGACTTTATTACGAGAACACTGTGAAACACTTCAATAGTTCCACCTGCTTTATAGCCTCCTCCTATCAAATGTTCCAGGTTGATAAACAAACACATAAGCAATGCAAGTGGTAGGTGGACTGAAATCACGTGACACTCGAAGACAATTATTATATCATGTTGATATAATGCAGATTTGTTGTAGCTAGGAGAGATACCTTCTACGAGTCAATGTTACGACGTTAATTATACACCTATGTAACTACTGATGGATGCTAATTGGAAGCAATTGCCATACATATGTGATATAGGAGAATTTAGAAAACTCTAAGAAGGCATTATTGCTACATTCTGTGAGAAAACGGAGAGAAGAGAGTCAGGTGACTATCATTGATTTGCAATGACTGAATGTGAGTTGTGTTCTAATTACAAAGAACTGACTCACTTCAGCCTGCATTCTGTTCCACTGACATTCTATTTCACATGTGAATCGTTCTTTGTGTGTGCATGTATTTATGTGTGTGTGTGTGTGTGTGTGTGTGTGCCAGTGAGTGTGAGTATTAATACTAACTGAATTTTATGTATTTAATGCAGAACTATCTACATGAAAACCAATTCGGAAATGCTGATGCTGACGATTTATGGAGACGACTAACTGAAGTGAGTAATTCTGTTTAATATAGAAAAGAACTGGAGTGGAGTGAGTACATCCTGACCTGCTGTACCACAGAAAGTCCTTCCTTCCAAGGTAGTATTCATCATCGACTGATATCGGTTGTATTACCACTGAAAACCATGGATCATTCATTGGACAGCTGTTTCCACCTGTTACTCGACTCCTCAGCAGTGCGTATCCAGCTGACACCAGTCCGTGATAAATGCCAGTTACTCTTTAAAGTACCTTATTTATTAGAGTCTATTATTGTACGTCTCGTCTCGGCTGCATTCACCTATACACTTGACCTCACAATCATTACTTGATGGTTAATACATAAGGTTACTCTGCTCACTTGGTTCTTCTGGATACTTTAGTCTACACGGTTTCTCTCTGAGTTACTATGTAGGCTTAGCTGCCAGTCTGATAACAGCATTGTTAAGAATTCTAAGTAAAATTTAAGATGTACTTTCATTATATGGTGATGTGATGGGGGATTTTAGTCACCTCTTAGACATATTACGATCTCCACTAACTTCATCAATTTTGGAGGGTAGTTATCAAGTAGCAGCGTCTCTTCAATGTGTTCAAGTTCAACACTTAGGCATGCTGACTTACTAGTCAAACTTCTAGCTTAGTCAACTTCTTAACCGTCCAGATGGAGAGTCCTTGTGTTAGACAACACTATCACAACACATGGGAGTTGAAGACATATCAGTTGCTGCCACATAAACCAATCGTGTGCATAATCCAGGCTTACAACCTTACTCGACAGGTTCCCATGTGAATAAATTAGTTTGGAATTCTCCATTTTGAAAGGTGTCGCTGGGCGCCGATAGGTATGAAGTGAACGACTAACACGGCTTGCCAACACCCCCACTCATCATACCTAATTACAAAGGATATACAAATAAGCCAAGAGTCTGTGTTGAAGCATAATCGTCAAGTGTGACATATTGATTCAGACAGAATGCAAGGGATTTCGGATATTTTATCAAGACTATATTTAGCTGTCACCGATTTCAGTTCAGTTTGCACCCTCACACATTCACACATTCAAAGAAATTCATACCATGCTAAATGACCACCACCATAGTCGACTGTGTTATTCGTCAAAATTGTTTATTGTCAGTCTCATAACTCCTATTCATCAAGTGTCTTGTTTCTTTTCAAGATGTCTAGTGAAATTTTATGGAGCAGTTCCCAGTAGTTGATTGTTCTGTAGCCAAGCCGTGCTGTGTAGAAAAAAATCATTGTATGCACTTGTATTCTTCACTCGTTACTTCTAACAGTACTGAACAAGTTTGTTCACTTGCAACCACAACATTACATTACATCACATTATTACACCTCTGCTCTGAGAGTAGGTAGGATTTATCAAATAAGATTGTGATATGAGTTGATTGCAATACAACTGCTGCTGCTGCTGCACCTGCTGCTGCTGCTGTCTGGTGTGTATTCACTGTCAACTTGTGAAACTAAGCCGATCGAAGTTTGTTAGGTGTATAAGGTAGAAGTGAACTGAGTTTCTGCCAACACAGGCAACCAATCAATACATATCAGAAGTGGAATCTGATGTCAACTATTATGAGAAATGTTTTCAAGAATATAATCTGACCTCTACATCCATTTATACCAGTTGTGTTAACCAATTTTATTTTCATCACTCATAACACTACAGGCAGCAGTTAAAGCTGGAAAGGATGTTAACACTAAATCAGTCATGGATACATGGACGAGGCAAACTAACTATCCACTCTTGATTATCAATCGAAGTGGAGACAATGTCTTCAACTTTAAACAGATTCACTACTTCAAGTCTTCTGATGTAAATCCACCTTCATCACCTTATGGGTAAGTTAATATTCAGTGATCGATAAATTACACCTTCTCTTTTTCACTCAATCTTCCCTAATCGTCCATCAACTAGCTGTTTGTTTCATCATCATGTAAAGTTTACAATATCCACTTTGAACATTGAACTTGTTGTTTCCAGGATTGTTCATCAACCTTCTTTACTTTCTATTTCCCATTCAACAGATTCAATTCTATAAAGTATACTGTACATGTTGTCAATGTAGCATTACACTTCCATTTTGCATCAAGCTGTTCGTGATGATACTTCTGACCACCTAATTGCAAACCGATGGTCATATGTGACCAGTTCCCTTGGTTGCGAGTTATATCTATACTTGTGTTCATTGTTGAAGTCATATTGACTGAAATTCATTGAAACAAGTTGAGAAAACTCATTTATTCACTATTGAACAACTCAGAAGATAACAATGAAGCATGAAGCATCGAAGTAGTAATGCACAATGTGCAGACATTTTGAGTAAAAAGGTTGTTTAGTGTATTGGAGAGTGGATAGACTGTGTATTGCGGTTCATGACTAATAGCACTAGTTGAAATCCCAAGATGACATTGGTCAAGTGAATCAGGTGATGAGATATCCAGGTTAAGGTTCAACTGATGTACTTGACATAGTACTTTGAATCTTGTCATCCAATCGACCATCTTACCCAATAGTTGACGAAATGTTGACTTTAAATCACGTTCACACAGAGGATGACAAAGGTGTGTTACTGTGAAGTAGGGAGTATCCTCTTACCACTTGTACGTACTCAGGTAACATCATGGAGTTGTGTCGTTGTAGAGTAACTTCTGAGTAGTTCCAGGTAAACACACACACCCACACACACACTCTCACTCAAAATACCGACCGACCAATACTACTCTCTGAACCAATCAATCAATGAATGAATGAATGAATGAAGACAACAAAATTACAGCAAGTATACATGTTTCAGAGCAATGAGAAATTTCTGTTTCTGTTTGGCTGCATTTTGATGTTGGAATTCCCAAAGGCTGATGTAAAGATATTCATTCATCCATATGACTGTGAAGAATTCCACTTCTGACTTCATTGTGCAGATGGTGGTCATAAGCACGTCTTCGTAGACATATATAGGCTTTGTGTTTGTAGACTGTTGCATGTTGATTCGTTTATCAGGAAGTGATGTGGTCACTTTGTCAGTTTTCTTCTTTTCGGCATAACACTCATGCCCATTTCTATCCAACATTCCGAAAATCTGTGGACATAAAAGTGAATACAGCACCATCTTCCTCTTGCTGTTCATTTCTTCCTCTGTAACAGTTGACGACATGATTTCACTTGCTCTCAAAAATTATTACTCACGAGAAGTGACATCACTGCCATATTGCTGATCATTGGGATTTTTGAAGGACAACAGAATTCCACAACTCTGTCTTTATTCTGTTTGCTTGTTTCCTGTGCAATGCACTTACCACTGAGTCATATCCAATGTGCAGTTGTCCTCACTCACTTCATCACTGACATTTAATTTAGGCATCATGAGACGTTGATGATAGACGTGTTTCTCAGGAGTAAAGTAGAAGTCCTACAATGAGACAGTGTTGGCAGTGGAATTCAAATGTACATGCACAGAATAAACTACAACTTGAATTCAGTCCCTTGTCTAATTCCTTCTTCATACTGACAACAAACACCACAACTATTCTCTCCCCAACTCACTCGTCCACCCATTCACTCACTCAAGTATAAACGGTGATGCAAAGAAACACAAGGACAGACAAGCGAAATATTTCTCCAACATTGTCTATCTGAATACCAGCCTGTTTGTCTATGGCTACTCGTCACGCATTCTCACCTTCAACCAACCGATTCTCATCCCAACTGACATTACTGCCCAGTGAAGCAGCAGGTAGCCACAAACAGTTTGTTGTCAGTACTGACGGTTAATTGTTGGGTGAAATGCATTTCAGATTATTGCTTGTAATCATCTATGGAACTCCGTGCATTATGACTATTCACGGTATTCAGTCTCATCATCTCCTGAACTCCTGTCACACAGTCTAAAGCACTGGCCTACATGACTCAGCTGAACAGTCAAAGACTTCATGGGATGATGACACGTCTTCAACTGCCCACTCTCAGCCTTCTTCCTATTCACTCCCATTTCGCCTAACATTGGAGGTGAAGGTGGGCAATGAATGGCCTGACATGGACAAAACATCTTCAAGACACCTCATTCGATGAAGATTCATCACCCCATCAACTGACTGACTCAGTAATCTATGCTTAGACTGACAAAACGATTCCATTACATGCGAGGAATGTTGTGAAGACAATTCTCACCAAAACGTGTAACCTCTTCATATCTACTTGCAGAGATCATGTCTCACAGACGTGTAGCAGGCCCCAGTGAAATATTGCACACTATACTCATCCTGTAACAGATAATCGGATATCTCGTTGACATCATAGATGGAGTTCACTGACAAATCCCCCTACAAACAAATACAGACAACTTTAGACCATTCACACAGCTCCACTCTCATCTTACTCATCGAAATTGTCGTTGATAAAAGTTCACAATTGACTATGATAGTAGAGATACTACCTTTCAATTGTGGATGTCCGCTTCACACTTTACAGCTAACTTAAATTATGTGGTTAAATTATTTGCAATGTTATCACTTCACTGAATTTTCATGCCAAGACAATGCAGAGAAGACATGTCAGTGACATCTATCTGTTGAACTATGCATACAGCAAAATAAACTCATCCATAATCATAATCTATCCATCGTTACTGATAAGACGATGGCATAGTGACATTAACACCAATAGTAATGATAATGCTCATTATACACTCATGTTCCATCACCACACTGACTATTTTTGGTGCACTATCTAGGTATATCTGGCAAATACCGTTGACATATGAATCAGCCAATAGGAACACGCTTGATGACACCGAAGTTATATGGATGCCGAATCGTAAGTTAATGTTGCACAACCAACTATGTTAATCTTTCATATACTCAACACACACACAGATGGAAATTTATAAATGACTGTCGACATGTTGTTTGTTATTCTTATCAGGAATCATAATGGTAGGTTTTTGAAACTGCCTGGTAAAGTGTTCTGTTAGTAGATGAGATAAGCATTAACCATTATTAGTAACTACCACCAATCCTAGATCACTCACTCTAGTATTTAAACACTCCAGGAATCAGTGGAATATTCATTTGCTTCACACCATCTTACTTCATTCATCCATTCTACTCCTACAAATAATAACTGTGATGAAACAGTTGGTAGTTTGGAATAACTGCAGTGCGTACCATGACGGACTACTCTAGCCTGTGTCTGCTTGATTAACAACTGATACATTGGCGATAAACGACCTAAATAACAGATGAATGTTGGAGAGTATTGACCACCCACTTGCAATGATTATGCAATAGACAGAATCCAATCTTCAAGTAAGTAAACGTTGGCAAATAACATACAAATTGCACAGTTCACATTGACATTTCTCCCAGCTGAGTAGTTTTCCAATCACCCAACTATGATGCCAGTCAACAGAGTTTCCCTTGTAGTCCATTTAGCCAAGATTACAAACCACGATCTCTGACACAAAAGTGTCATCAGACAGTGAATACCTTGAAGAGTTGGGAAATACTCAATGTGATCTGAATATCTCACCAGTCAGATAAGAGTGATCTGAACACCGGATAACCTTCACAGTCGTATATATATAGCTAATTACTTGACCACAATGCACCATGGTTTATAAAGATGAAACAACCAATTTCATGTACAATAACCTATCGATTTCACTCAATATCCAACCATAAGTCATACACAATCGTGTGAGGAGTCAATCAAAGCCCTTGAACTGAGCATACCATGTCACCAAATGAGTCATAAGTAAAGTGACTTTTACAACAAATGAAATAATATGACAAATGTCAGCAAACTGAGATTCATGTTGTCTACTCTTTGGCTAATTCCCCTATGAAAAATACACCCAATTCTGACTATAACCTAAATGATGATGTTATAAACTGGTCATTATTCTCATTTCTCATAAGGCACAATAACGAAGATGTTGAACATCAAGTCGAGCGATTGCTACATCTTCAATAAACAACAAGTTGGATATTATCGTGTACACTATGCTGACAATAACTGGCAATTACTAATCAAACAGTTGTCTGACAATTTCCAGGTATGACAATAATCATCTTTGAAAGTCTATTGCTTGTTGTCATGCACAGTGTTTAACCAATTCATATAAAGTTTATGTGAAGCTGTTTTCATACACCTTCCTATCGATTCGACATTTCCCCAGTGAGTCTATAACTTGCGATAATCTTCAGTGAGACCAATCGTTCCTAAAGTTGGTCACTTATTCAATGAAGAGAAATAGAAGAATGTGGATAACTAGACTCCGATGCAGTAGCTCAATAGTAGAGTGTTTGCCAGGTGACCAGAGAATAAGAGTGACGACAGTTCCGTTTTATGTAGGTGAGAACATGTAAAATCACTCACAATGAATGAGTTACAAACCAAGTGTGACATGAGGAGAGGTACTCAACGATGTCTTGACTTTACATATATGAGAGTGGATACTCGAAAAATAACATTCAGATTCCACCCCTGAGTGGTTACTCACTTCCTCCATAAACAATAAAGGTGGTACGATAACAGGAAGTGAATCACGAAGCCAAAATATATTGAAAACACAACGGTTTATATACATTTACACTGACGTTGTCTATTTCTAGACCCTACTGGAATGGCATATCGTCTTGATTTTGACCATTCAATCAATCTCATATATTTACAAGTTGGTCCATATGCTTTTCCCAAAAACTCCAAAGAAACACGACCAGTAAAACAAATAAAATAACTACCTGTCAAACACGTTCACCTGATTGCATAACACCGTAAACATGCTAACGTGCAACTTATAGGGAGGGATACAATAGATACCAAATGTCTTACAGGGGGCTATGTTGGAGAGAGTTGGTAGAATCATCCTATTGACAAGTCTGATCGTTTGAAGTTACACCAGTCGGCCATGCCATTGCATAGAATCAGGAAGGTTGATCACCAATCAATCATTAGTTTTCAGGCTTCCACAAAATGGTTACCTGAAAAACACTTACTAATAATCAATCAACGTGAATGTGAAACGTCATCATATAGGATTGATCTGAGCTTGATGACATCACTTGAGAGTGTGGAACCAACATAAAACTGTAGATTTCTGTCTACCTACTTCGTCGATGATGTTAACTCCACAAGATATCACGTAATACATGAGAGATACCGTAAAACTCTCTTGGCATGATTAGTAGGTGTATCCAGTGACTCGACATAGCTTGTGGCTACTCACAACCAAAATAATATTCGACTTTATCAACGTGTAAATTGTTGAATCATTTGGCAGTAATCCTTCTCAACAACCAGACAACACAAATAGCACCATTCAAGGAGTCATCATGAAGGTGATCCTCACCACATCATGCCAAATGACACTTCAATAACAACCAATAAACTACTAATCAATTCGCTTTCTTCAATACATCATATGTCCATCATTTTGATAAAGATTAGGAGAACAGAATTGATATTTGTAGTCTGTTCACTTGGATGGCATTTAAACTGACTCCCGATTTAGATGGATCTACTCACTCTGTCAGTTGACTTGACAAAATTATATTTAATCGAATTCACTGACATTTCATCATTGTTGAATGATACCCACACAGGTACCGTCCACTCCTCAATCATCTTAGTTGTTGATTTATCTTCTTTTCTTTTTCTTGTAACTTATGCCAACTAGACGATTCCAGTTTATTCACGTCTACAAATTTTGGATGATCTCTTCAACTTGGCCAAGTGAGTGAAATTCATTCATGTCTTCCTTCAAGCATACAATATTGTCATGTTCCTTTTACATACAAATGAAGAAGTTGTTTTACGTGACAACGAAGTGTCTGAGTAGTCCTAGAAGTTTTGCGATAACCTGAGGGGAAAAAGTACAGTGTAGGTGCAAACCAGAAATCGCGTTCCCTCCTAATCGGACTCGTCTGGTCGATGTGAGTGCATCTCAGCAAGATATGATGGCCCTACCTCAGGCTGGAACTCAGTACGTGCCACTTCTAATGTCAAAGCGATTTTCACGGCGACTGAGCTGCGAGAGCCGCCTCTTGTGTAACGGGTACTATTACACCTAATCTCCTCTAGGTATACTGTAAAGTGAATGTTTCTACACTATGATTAGTTGTGTGCGTTCTGAGTATTTGATAGCTACCACCTCCAAAGCATTTGATCAATTCCAACTATTCCATGTGCTTTGACAACTTTCACCTGTCCCACTTGCCTTATATCTGGTTACTAACAAGGAAACGGTAACAAACACTCCTCAAAGCGTTTACACCAACGATTCACAGATGTCTTACAACAAACCAAATGTTTAGTCATTCGGTTAATGTATCCTCAATGTAGAATTGATATCTTTCTGTTACCTTATCATACTGAACTCGGAAATCAATAATTTCTGCCTTGAGGAAACTGCATGAGTATCTGTTGGAAGCATAATATGAACGATTAAATGTGGATAACTTCAAGTTGTCTGGAGTCGACAGTGTCAATCCCATTAAGGTGACAGCTACACCTTAATAATAATCAGTGGTGGTAATAAAGACCAAATCTACATGAAGAAAAACTTTGTATTGTTTCTCTTCGGTTGCTCAACATCAATGAAAGTGCACTGAGATAACAAGTCTCCTACTCCCATGATCACATTACACTCAAAACTAGACAATATGACGTCGGTTATTGTCTAGTGACAAAACAAATCCCTGAAAAGCAAACTTGCTGAAATCAGTTGTCAGATTTTACAGTGAACATTTTCACCAATCTCACAGTCTTCTCGATCGATATTCAACAGGCATTGCTACCATAAGCAGTTACCTTGTAGTTGTGCATAACTGACTGGATCAATGTCTTCTAGAGAATATTCTCCTGACAGGTCATTCACTGATGTCAACATAAATGTATGAGATATACAGTTTCACAGAGTCTTTCATAAATCATCGATGTAGTTAATGGTGTGCTTAACCGATCTGTATTCAATTGTTACTTTCTCAATATTTCTTTACATCTTGTAGCAATGATGTTGTACCGTATACTGACTTTCTGAATGCGACAAAATACCTGAAACGGGAGAATAGTTATGCAGTTTGGGAAACAGTGAAACATGCATTTTCATTCTTCTATCGGATGTTTGCTCTGAATGATGGTTATGCAGATTACCAAGCCTATCAACAAGCTCTTCTTGATGAATCGCTTAAATCAATCGATTGGACAACGATGAAGGAGGGGGGTGATGTTGAGAAGAAGTAAGTTGTAGTTTATGCACGTTACTTAGTCATTATCACCATGAGTGATGGATTAGCTTCGCACTAAGCAACATAACAATAATTGACAATATGATTTCCTTGGTGGTGGCTAATAGGGGGATATGTGATGTGTGCTTCATCGTTATCTGGATATACCTGCACTACGTTGAGTGGTGTTGCCCCAATTCGACCTGAACCCTGAAGTCATCACTCCGAGTCTCATGACGTTCTGCACTAAACCACTGATGCATGAGAACCACCTGTTGTGCAAGTGGTATCAGTGGGAATGCCATCATTCACTGGGTGCAGGAACATCCAGCTGACGATTCGCAAGTGGGACAAAACGCTGAGACTGGATTCTACTGTTAGCCACCACCACGTAAATCATAATAATGAATATTTGGCACTACTGAGGCAGCCATATAGGCACCCATCTGCCAATGTAGGTGGATCAATTCGATCCAGTATAACAACGGGGAATTACAAGTATCAGTAAATAACGGCTATTGAAGACAGGAATAACTGGTTACTGATTTTCCCGAGTAGTGCTAAGAACTCAAGAAATCATGTCGGTGATAAATGTTGAAGCAGTTTGGCATCTCAGTGCATCAAGTATCATCACACTGAATCCTCATTCTCATACAGACTTATGTTATGCATTCACTTCGACACGTGCCAGGTATTGTTGCATGACTCAGTGTTGAAAACTGATCATAAGATAATTGTTCTCCACTTTCTGGCCTCAATGACTTCCATGTAAGCCTCTTATTGAATGACTCCAAAGGATGCCTCAACTATCACTGGAAAAACCGATTCGGTTTGTATATTTTGGCTGGAGAGGTAGATTTTTCATAAAATTCAAACATCTGATTGGTTATTTCAGTAGTTGCTAGAGCGGACCTCACTCACACTAGCTCGATTTACTAGGGTGATTGTAAACACCACTAAAATCACGAATCATATTTTGCTGTTTAGTGAACAACAACTGTCTTCCAAGCGAAAATGGTGACACCTGATTAGTTGTTTCATGCATTGCTAGAGTGGTCTCCAGTGACGCTGCTTCTAATCTACTGTGTTGTGAACATTTCATTCTGGTGTAAATAAAATGTAGACTGTAGGCAAAGGAGTCACTTTAAAGATAATTCCTTCAACACGTGAAATAACCAATTAGATTTGGCTCTGTGTGAATTTCTGCTCTTCGAAGAGAAATAGAGAAAGCTGGTTGGCTATTTCACTTGGTTCTAGGGTGGTTGTCTTCAGATCCATTCAACGTGAAAGTGGTGTCAGTATCCCATTATGCCTTCAATTCCCTATCTTACCCACAAGATTAAAACAGCCAAATGCAGTTGATTATATATTTGCGAAGTTGTTTAAAGGTCACCCTAACAGCTGCTGGAATAACCAATCAGCTTTGTAGACTTCGACTGGGAATGTGGTTATTGATGAAGAAGAGAAGTGTGATTGGTTATCTCAGTAATATTTCAGGTGGCTTCTTAATTCACTCAAAATCGATTTATCTCAAACACGACCATATCAACACCTGAAATAATCACTCATGTGTCATTATTTCGGTTGGCAAGATACTTTTCGTGTAAAATTAACATACCAAATTTGTTACTTTACTACTTCCTATGTTCATGTTTAAAATTATCCCTGAAATGTATCAACAAGTACACCTCACAACACACTTCACAGTTTGAAAGAGATGAGAGAAATAGACTTCTGCTTCTGTATTCCAGGCATTTAAGATATAACTGTCTCAACCGTAATTCATCTGGTGGCGTAAATGCTGACTAATCATGTCTAGTCATCGGCACACATCACCAACTGCCTGAAAAGGAAATGTCTGCTGACAACTTTCCACGATGAACGTAGTGAACATTGTCAAGTGGTGACTATTCTCAGACAGAAATAGACGATTATCAGAAGACTTCACTCACAGCACTCGCTAATATTATCCATACAAAACTTCAGAAAACTTCTTATTCAAAGACCGTGTATTTCACAAACACGTGATTTGATCGATTCGTTAATGGTTCAGAATTAATGATTATAACATTAGTGAAATAAAGGGAAGTGACCAAAACTATGAACAAGGTCAAACGGTAGTAATATGAGCTTCAATGAAGGATAGTTTACAGTGTAGTAAGAAGTTGACAATAACATCTCACCAATGGATGTGGAACTTAAGTTTTAGCTTAGTGATTCCGTAAAACTAGGTGATGGATTGAAGTGTACTATTATTATTATTATTAGTCCCTTGGGTTCCTAATGGAACTTAGGGCTTCAGTAGTACGTCTCCAGTGACCTTTGTTCTCTGAGATCTTTTGAACCTGGTTCCACGACGGCCCACAACCTCTCATTTCCTCCTCGCACCATCTCCTCCATGTCACCCTCACCTCGGGAGCCCAACTCGTCGCTTCCCATCTAGGCTCCATTCGAGTACCTGGCCTGACGCATGATGTCCCCAGTCGGCCCTCTCAGTGTATGCCCAATCCATCTCCACTTCCTTCCACTGCATATTTGTTGAGTGATAGGTTCTTGGTTGGTTCGTTCCCAGAGCTCCTTGTTGCTTATTCTCATTGTTCTGGCCATCTGATCTTCAGTAACGAGCCTGCGTAAGCAGTTGTTGATGAATATCTGTAGTTTATTGGAAATCACTTGTGTAACGCGCCAAATCTCTGAACCATCACACAGAAGCACTGACTTGATTGAAGTTGGTGTTGAGAGTCCGGATGTTGTTCCACATGTTGAGTGCAGTACAGAAGATCTCCACACTGGTTTCAGGCTAATGAACGCCTGTCCTCCTGTCTTTCCGATCCTGGCTGACTTTGACATCCTCGTCTGTGCCTTTGCCGCCTGTAGTTGAAACAGTGCTGCCTGCCTAGATAGGTGAAGGAGGTTACTTCCTTTAAGTTTCTCCCATTGATGGTGATTGGAGTTTCTTGTTGTTGGTGGTGGTGCGGTATCTTCATCACTTCTGTCTTCTCTATATTCACTTGAAGTCCCGTCTTCGCTGCCTCACCTCACCTCTTCTGTCAACTTGTTAGTTTTCACCTGTAGATCTTCAAGTTTATGTGACATCAGACACAAGTCATCGTTGGCGAAATCCAAGTCTTCTAGGTTCTTTTCCCCAGTCCAGTCAGCGTATCCTCTTCTTCTCACAGCTCACCACTGTTTGCTGCATGATCCAGTCGAGTCGACCACAATCAGGAATATCATGGGGGATAGTAGACAACCCTGTTTCACTCCTGTCTTCACTTCCACTCCAAAGGCATCACTGAGCTGAGCTTCCCACTGTGAAGTACTTGGCATGTGGCATCTTCATACAGTTGAAGTGTACTAGATAACTTGAAATAACTGGAGGAGATAAAATAGCATAAATAGTGATTTTAAATTGTAATGGTGGAGGAACAGATGAGTTTAAAAGAAAAGTCTTTCAAAACCCAGTGGATTTTCTAGCAACTTCAGAGTCTGTGTTCCTAGCATACTGAGGAATGTGTCAAATCAAGTGGCACCAAATCCAGTGCGTGACAGCTTAAAGACCGAGTTGTGAACAGGATGAACAGACTTCAGTCAGTGTCCATCAGTAAGAACTAGACAACTGAATGTGTTACACACTCGTCATCAATCGATGCACACGATCTAGTCTCATATGCGATTGGTCACTACCTAATTAGCCTGATGGTGAATGTCCCTTCACGTGAACATTGAACAACTCAGGTTCAAATCACCGAGGCGACACCGGTTCCTCCATGATTGAAGATACACCGATCAGCCGATCAGCGTCTAAATGTACGAAACACAAATTCCACTCCTAACATCCAACACTGACCCATTTCAGTTGAAATTGAAAGCAACAGAATGTTAGCCAGTGGAACTCCACTTCACATTTCAACATTCCCTAGCACATCTTCTTCATCAAATAGGTCAGTCAGTTTGTACAAAGTGACAGTCATCGTTTTTCTTTTCATGTTTAATTCCTCACTCGATGGAAACTAACATTTTCAGAATCTAATGATTACTTGGATCAATGTTATCTGTGTTTCGCTAAAAAGAAATTCTCTTATCTTTTCTTCTACACTTTCAGCCTGTTACGCGGATATCTGGTGCAATTGGCTTGTCAAGTGGAACTTCAATCTTGTGTAACCAGTGCTCGAACATTGTACACGAAATGGATGCGCGCACCTGATAAAAATCCGTTAGTTATTCACTAAGTGAAGAATTGAATGTGATTTGTTTAGTCGAATGATTCATGCATATTTTTATGATTGCATGTGCACACATCGTCTCCGTCGACCAATCAAAGCATCGAATCCAACCGTTTAACAAGTCACTCCCTGCCTGAATAACTTACTTGCTAAGTGATGAGGTCTCTGACTACAGGACTGAGTGACAAAGGTTTGAATCCCTGAGTGAACACGAGTTCCCTCAAGGTTACAGGTATGCCTTAAAAATCTGAGTAAAGTGGAGCTCCATCCCTGTCAATCGTCTGCATGTACTTCACGAGCCAGATGTGTATACAAGTGCTGTACTAAACCTCTTTCCAGTTATCCTCCACCTACGAAGTTGTAAGAATGAAGGTAAACTGGAACTCGAGGTTGAATGATAATCAGTTGGCACGAGGTGAAATACTGCATAGACCAGATATATTTACTGGACCTAAGATTCTGGTCAAATGATGTTTGTACTAATCTATTATTATTCTCAACATTCGGGAAATGACCACTGTTAACCTGCATATGTTTTTCCTATGCAAATCGAAGTTGACGGTTAACACAGAGGATGTCATCTCCTCAAGTTTTAGTAGATCCAACAGCATAGCCAAACACCTGTGAGGATGAGAGCTACAAATCTCTTTAATTTGGTAATATTTTGAGTAGTGCAAAGTAACAGAAAATGCAACATCGGAAATCGCCAACCACACTGTTAATTCAACATGAAGTACTCAGATTTTCAACATTACCATGTCCATGTGTTCCCACGAAAACAAAATCTAGATGTTCAATGTTATGCATGTACTAGAATTCAGACTTCTGGAGTATTAATCACAGACAAGCGATCGTACACTAGTGTGGCAAGTGACTGGGAACGGTTAAGGGCTGCTAAGAAGACCTTGTCCATCTAATTCACACTGTCACTTTTCTGCCTTCGACAGATTGTGTCCTCATCTTCCATCCGTATACAGGACGCTTATCACTCATGAGGACGAGTGAGTGGATTTCTGAAATATCAGAAATATCAGATGCATATCACCTAGAGAAATATTGGAAATCGGTTAGAACTCAACTTCTCGACACTATCCACACCATGCAAAATCAAGCTGATGCCTATCTGCTCTCAAACACTATCATTAGGTGTGCTGCTGAACCGACATAAATGTGGATGGAACAGCTGCAAAGAGCGCCCTCATTTTAAATAACTTCCTATTTCATATGAATTTGTGTTGTATAAGTTAAAAGGAAGTGACTTTCAGAAGAAACCTCTGCATCAAAGAATCGTTCCTTAAAAAACTTCATCAGAGGAAACCCTACTGACCATAATTACCTGAATAGCTGTCACACACTCCATCTTGATCAACTGATAACCTCTCGGATTTTCTGATGCTCTCATTTCCCTGGAAAGTGGTCAGTCGTGTACAGATGGATTGCCATAATTCTCTAAGGGATTTTCCACTAAAATGGGGAAACTGGTAGAGTAGGACTGATAACAAGTACCGTTAGCTGATCATAATAATATTAGCAATAATAAAAACAACGTCATTATTATTATTATTATTATTATTATTATTATTATTATTATGTGTGACAAGGTATTGAATTCTCAGTATGCAATATTCCAGCACGTTTACCTCTTGCACAATGTTGACGATGAAATAATCACCACATCTCAACTGTAGTAATCATGACAATATCACAGGCACTTACATATGAAACAATAAGCTGATTTCAGGTTATCGTCTAGTGTGGAGGTAGACAGTGGATGAATAGAAAAGTGTGGATAAGTCTGATGGCAGTAATCCATTTAGCCAACACAAAAATCGACAATTTGAGTTGACTGTTTCTTCAATAGTCGGTTAGTATTCATGATGATCTGTTGTACGTTCTTAAGCCCATTATCATTATCTATGGTGATGGTTATTCTTGAATTTGTTGGCATTTCGCAAACCAACTTCAAATGGATCTATTCAATGTGATACATTTACTGGAAAGTTTTCGGTTGCTCAACGTTTAACTAACTGTCGTGAAGATCATCTTGTGTAAAAGTTTGTGCCAGTCATTGAAATGTTTCACTTTTGTGTGTCAGATGTTTTCAGTTTCCAACAGTGAGATGGACATTCAAGCTACAAACTTCAAACTTCAACAATTTTCACACATCATCGTTTGAGTCATCAGTCATACTTGACAATTAAACGTAAAATTATGTAGATTGGAAGGAGGAGACAGTCGAATCAAACTGACTCATCCTTGGCATAGTGATTGGTATTCCCCATTCTGCAAGTTTATATTTCAGGGACAGAGGTGAACCACTAATTCATCTCAATTGTTGAATGCTGAAGTTTGCGAGACGAAGAAAGAATATAATATGGTAAGCCAAAAAGGAATCGTTGAATCGTGCCAATATGTGAAGATGCATGAACTGGCTGTTTGAATTACCGTGAATGAGCAGCACCATATAAGTGGAGAACACATGAAATGGAATGGATGCTTGACTACTCGGCTTCAGCTTGACAAGCTCATTAGAATTATGGAAGTCAGCGTTGATGCTGAATATCATCAAACCTTCGTGTTTTCATTTCATATGATTTGGCGTGAGCATCTCACAGAAGTGTTGGATTTCGACAATTCACACCTATGTCCTCACACAGTAATCTATTATCATGTCACTTTTCCCATGGATTCCTAGTGGAACATACGGCTTCAGTTGCACATCGTCATCTCACTCTCTTCTCTGCCGTCTTTACGACTTAGTTCCACGACTGCACAGAAGTTTTCAATTCTTCCTCATACGATCTTCTACATGTCACTCTCATCTCGGACGCCCAACTCGTCGTTTCCCATCCCGGTTCCACTCGAGGGCCTGGTGTGTGATGTCCCCAAATGGTCTCCTCAGTGCAGATCCAATCCAATCCATCTCCACCTTCTTCCTTGGCATATTTGTTGGACAACAGGATGTTGGTTGCTTCGTTGCCAAACTTCCTTGTTGCCTACTTTTCTTGCCATCTGATCTCCTCTTCAGCATGCAGTGCAGGCAGCTGTTCATGAATGTCTGCAGTTTGTTCGTAACGCACCAAGTCTCTCAACCATCACATAGAAAGAAGCACTGACTTACTTGACTGAGTTAGTGTTGAAAATCCGGATGTTGTTCACGCTTTACTGTGAGTGCAGTAGATCTTCACACTGATTTCAGATTAATGAAGGAAGGCCTGTCTTGCTGACATTCCGATCCTGGTTGGCTTTGATGTCCTCATCTGTGCCTGTGCCGCCTGTTGTTGAAACGTTCCTACCTAGGTAGATAGGTAGATGAAGGAGACAACTTCCTTCAGATTTCTCACCTTCATGGTGATTCGTGCTTGTTAGTGTTGTTGGTTGGGTATCTTCATCACCTCTATCTCTTTTACGTTCACCTGAAAGAAAGTCCCATCTTCATTCGCTGCCTCGCCTCGCCTCACCTCACCTCTTCTGCCAGCTTGTTAGTTTTCGCCTGCAGATCTTCCAGTTTGTCCAATATTAGACACAAATCATAGGCGAAATCCAGATTTTATAGGGTCCTTTTATCAGTGAAACACCGTACGCCCATCTTCTCTCTACTCATGATTCGTTGCATGGTTCAGTCGACCACAATCAGGAAGATCATCGGTGATATTAGGCAGCCTTGTCTCACTCCCTCCTGTCTTCACTTCGATGACGTCACTGACCTTTCCATTGTGGATCACTTGGCATGTAACAACATCTCATCATATAGTTGTTGAATGAGGATGATAAAGGTTTGCGGCATTAAAACCGTAGTGTTGAAGCAGTTTCCAAATTACCTAACGGTCGACGCCCCCATCGAAGGCCTTTTCAAAATCGATGGAGTTGAGGTAAAGATCCAGTTGACTGCCATTCTATACTCTGTTCTGTGATGTTGCGTGGCGTCACAATTTGATCGTCATATGATTTATTCTTCCAAAAGTCTGCTTGTTCCACTCCACATCATTGATACTTCACAGAAATAACAAAGATCACTGCCATAACAAATGTTGGAAGTTCTTTTAATATTTAAGGTGTTTTTAAGTAGTTTCAAAGAAACTTTGTTACACCACTCCTTGTAGATTACTTCGCTTGTTATTACTTGTGTTTAGCATACCACGTAGTCTGAGAGCGAGTATTTACTGCTTGGCAGTACGTTCTGGTGGCCTAAAGGAGTGGCATTTCTTGACTACTCAGTTATTGGCAAATGGCACTGATGAAGTAGAAGACTATAATATGCTGTATGGATTATCCTGTTCCAATAATACCAATATTATAAGAGGGTAAGTCAGTAAAAATAAACTATGACTTTACTCTGTGTGATTCCCTTAGCCTGCAAATGACTATCAACACACTACTGAGTGAAGCGGATTTCAATCTAAGGTGTCGCACCAGTTCCGTCGAGGTTACAGATACACCTTGCTGACTAGTGCAAAAAAGCGAGGAACCTAAGTCAAGTTCGGCTTCCCGACAACAATCCCCTCCATTCAACTTACGACTAAGACTATTGGATGAGGATGACTGGTCTCTAACAGTCGATAAGTGCTTTTGCCTACACACACTGGAGAACATTTGCAGTCTTCGCTACAATCAACTCTTTCATAGTAAACCTAATTCTATCCATTTCATTGAAATATTCGTCTCACTTGAACCAAGTAACGAAAGTCTCCACAACAAGCTCAGTAGCTAGTCATAATGAAATGAGAAATGAATGATTGGTTCTTTCTGTTGCAGAGTTTCCATGGTCTGCTTGCATGTTGTCATAATTGGTCGATAGTATGTCTGGACAAGTATTTAAAGCGTGAAAGAGTAGTGTGAGGTCGTTAGATTTTGACTATCCTGCAAACCTCTTACTTATTATTATAGTCATGACGACTTTATGTGAAGGTGAGATTTGTAAGCTTGTGCATCCTTATAAGCTGCCACTAAGAGAAATCAGGTGTGTTGGCATCATTTGTACAATGGTCAAATTATTTCAAGCCATCAAATCTCAACTTATTTTGCATATCTGTGAGTTGATTATAAGCCAGATGATTCTTTCGAGAAGTGGAATTGGTTGAAATGTAGACCCAAGAGAAGTCTACTCACTGGCTTTGAGTGTTAGTGGGTAGTGATGTTTATAGAAAGTGGAAGGCATTGGCGATAGGTAGTAGTAGACAATTATTTAGCCTGACCAGGGAAATGTGGGCAAAAGTGATTGTTTGGTGAGGTCATTGCAGTGAAGGATCTGTCAGCCATCCACTCACACGATAAGTGACTAGAACGATGTGGTGGGATACCTCCTTGGAAGTTCAACTGGCTTTCGGCTATTTTTGTGGTTGCTCACAATCCAGTCGAACCGCAAATAGAAGACTAGGACAGACCCTTTAACTCTCACAGAAGTTGGTTAATCTACGAGTAACTTGAAATAAGGAAGGGTAACATTCACTAGTACCAGAGAGATGTGAGAACGAATTAACTAATGTTAGACAGCATATGTCAGTCACATATGATCCCCCTGACTGGTCTCAGTCACTGATTATCCCAACCTTCAGGGAAGGGGAAAAATCATCTTATGCTAAACACAAAGGAGTCGGTCTGACGCGAGCACAGTGTCTAGGATTCTAGGTGCTATAGTTATAAGACCGACTCCAAAACCAAGCTCCACAACAGTGAATACAAAAAACGGAGTGGATTTCGGACCTCTTCGACAGTGTATCAACTAGATATTCACACTCCGTTGAGTTATGGAACACAGGCAAACTCACTGACACCCGATACCAGCTGTACATATTCATGTGAAACCTTCATTTTAATCGACTATCGATTGGTCATATGACAGCTTCACTGGATGCGTATGACCTTGTTGAAGGCGCTGTACTCGGTTCTAAGGAGGCATGTTTGATCCCATGGTCAGGTGTCAGTAAGTTTCATCTGTCAAACGTGTTCACTCTGGTAGTTCTTGTTTAATTCTGTCTTACAAATGTTTATCGAGGTCCTTGCTTCCTTGTCCAACTTCATCAGAATTCAGCTTGTCTCAAGATGTTTCTTCGTTGACTTTATAGTACTTGGTGGATATACTCCCATCATGTAAAGATGGTGACAAAGTGCAGAGTGGGAACTTGAGACTGCTATGGAAGTACTGTTTAAATGACGAAATGCAAACTCTTGCTCACAACCAACTGGTTCACGTTAGTATCACATCCAGCAATCAGGAGTGGAATTAGTGATAGTGTTAGCCACTTTACTAACTTGAGAGGGAGTTCAGATCAACTCTGGTAGGTTACACACCAGTGTAATCTATACACGGAGACAATCCACTCTTATCACTTCCACCAACTTACGCCATTTCTAAGACCACCAAGATACCCAACACCGATTGCCTATTAACGATCGAGTGTACTGCACTACAGTTCACTCTATTCTACTGCATGCTTGTGAAAAATGACTATTAAAGATGGAGGCTATGAGTAGGCTTTAAGTGTCCACCACCGTGGCCTGTGTAGTATAGGTTGTGTCATCGAATCAACAAGTCAGTAAGGTAGAATTCATATACAAAGTCTCAGGCAAAATAGGAACGTCAGTTGGTGAAGTTGAAAACCTTCAGCACCTAAGATGGCTGATACATATACTACGTATGCATCATCAGCGTCTACCTGGTCACGTAATGTTGGCTGAAGTACCATTGTAGTCACTGTCTGTCAGAATACACTGGCGAGGATCAAGAAGTGATAAACATCTCTCAGAGAATCAGTGTTCATTAGCGAGACGTTCTTCAAAACCATGTGCACTGGTACTCATCGTCTACTTGCAATCTTGTCAGACCTGCTAATGGTCATTCAACTTTCTCGAGGTTTCATAGCCATCCTTGAATTCAGCTCAGTTCATCATATATTTGCAATACCAGTTGCAACCAGATTGTTGATGTTGACTTGTTTTCGGATGATCATCTTGACGACCACCAAAATGTAGGGTGAAGTTAGTATACTGTAGAGTGTGATCAGATTGCAGAAACATGAATCGAGAGGGAGCAGTTGTGAAGGCAGCCACACCATGGATAGATGATTACAATACGATCTGTTCGAGTTCATCCTGATTTGTGTGAGAGAAGTAGGACTCTCGGTGGCATAACGTCGATGGCTGTGTCAGAGTAGGTGCTTACTAGAAAAAGGTTGTGATCTGCTCAAACATACACAAGATCTTACCCACTATTCAACCCACAGCAGACTAATTCTCATTGACCACCAGATAACCATTGATGAAGATCTAGTCTCATAGCTCAGCTTTGACTCTGTCACATAGTGTGACACGAACATCAGTAAGGCCAGTTGCTGACGACGGTACCGGTTCCTCGGACAAGTGCACTGTGAACAGACTATTTGAGTGGATAGGTAGGGAAGACAATCAGAGCACTTCACTACAATCCTGCATGAAGATCTCAGGGATCCAGTGTACGAACATCAATGTTCAGGCTTTCCAGAGTCCTAACAAAACCTGTCTCTTGTTCTATCCGAATCACTGTCCCAACATGGAAGTTGGTCAGCTTAAACAGTCAGTGCGGTTTCACAATCACTGTTGATAAAATGTTCCGTTGTAAAACAAACGATGATATCAACAGAATAAATCGAATGATTAGCCAGAATATTCTTTAGGTGATGAATTCTCTTTTATCCACTAGGACCTAGTGGAATTCACCAGTGTAAATGTCGTTTCATAAAATGGATATGAGCTGGTGGTTAAATCAGATTTAAAAACAACAAAACTAGAAAACGTGGAGTGGAAAGTCATGTGGTCACTTTGATGTGATTGTGAGAAGTAAATTCTGCTCAAAATATCATCTAGTAAGTAATCCTGTATCACTCACTATGTGATGCACATAGGAAAAGCACTACGAAGGAGTCAACTAGTCAACCACACTGACCAACTTCTCTGTTCTTATTACTGGTTATTCAACTTCAAACGAGACTTTATTCCTCAGTGTTTGCTTATCAACTGTTAGTCGTATATGGGAAGGAGGTCAATTGAAGTCGAAGTGGAAATACAGTCGCCTTATCTGTATCCAACACATCTACCTTGATTATTGTGTCCTCACAATCCTCTGATGATAATAAGAGTAGTTGTGTAACTGAACGGGTAATGCATCAGTCCTTCTCATTTCAGATACATGGATTGGATAGTTCATCATCAAGACTTTTGGTATGCCTTACCACTTCTCGCTGGATCACCAGCTGGGAATAACCTACTTTGGCAGTATGCTATAGATGGATGGAAGAATATCACAGATGAGTGAGTTGTGATTTGTCTGCTCCAATAATTTCCACTGGAAATGTACAATTTTTATTACACACCATTCTTGATGAAAATATCCCCTCCCTGCCACTTCACTACAAACATAAATCACATGGAAAGATTTCAAATCTGCTAGAAACCTGATTGGTTATTGTAGCAGATGTTAAGATAACCTTCTGAGTGATTCGGAGCTTTCTAACTCCTATATTGCACAAGCTGTTCGTGTATGTGTGTGTGTGTGATCAATTGGGATAAGTACACGAAGTGACGGTCTACATAAACTGCTTCTTGTATCAACAGACTGAAAGGAAGACAGATCAACGTGCAGATGAGCAAATAATTTCATAAGCTCAATGTGTCATACTTCTTGGCAAATTACAAAGAAGAAACTGATGATGAGAGAATGATAGACAACAGCGTATAATAAATCAGTAATTAAGTGTTGACATGATAAATTGTGAGCGATAACGGCTTCGCATGACTACTCATGCATGACATTAGTTATGCTTTGCCAACAGGTTCAGAAAAGATCCTATTCTTGTCGTCATCATCACGAATTCACGTCACTTGAATAAGTATGGAAAAATTAGCAGGACTGGACACCAGTTCCATTCGACGTTGGGCCTCCTCAACTGTGTACACCAGTGACTTCATGAGGGACTGAGTAGAGTTTTGTCATATAGCATGACGAACAACTTGACTCTCATCCACTGGGTTACAATCCACTAGCCCACTATTCATACCAATGATGGATAGGGACTAGCAGTGGAATTCAGACTGTGTGTTTCATCCCATTTCGGACTCTTCAGCTGCATGTATCTACCTCCCATTGAGTAGTGTTGTTCCCACTAAGCTGCAAAGTCAGGACCGATTGCTTCGAGCACCACAGCGTTATCAACTGAGTCACCATACGAACTCCTCATGAGATCCCGGTAGGATAGTTGTTATGTCATGTTAGTGAGAAGAACATCACACACTGTGAGGAGGGTTTATCAAGTGATGAGTCCCAAACAGAATGAAACACACATCCTGAACTACACTACTAGCAACAATCCATCATTAATATCAAAAATGGAAAATCCTGGCCATATCCAAGTATCCTCACCGCAGCCCACATGCCAACAGTGGATAGTCAATTCGCTCCAATCACGTGGCGGATTCACAAACTACAACATCAAAACAATAGTCAGTTACTTTCAAATCCACTACTCAGCCTCACCATTATCCAATGTCGTCGACAGGTAATCGTGTTCACTGCCAACTTAGTCAACCCCATAAGTAGTCATTCATGCTTTCTTATTCAAACTTCGGGAGACCTATCTGGAAATAATTCGTTGGTGAACACGGAATACCATTTCAACTAGTGGTTTCTAGAGATTGATTAATTCACTCATTGATTGATTGACTGGTTAATTTCAAATGAGCTGTCATTGTGGATCAACATCAACTTGATTCACATAGATTATCCAGTAAATACTTATCCTATGCACAAACCAACCAATTATATTTTCATGCTTAATTAATTTCCCACTACTGTCTTGCACTCACGTGACATGTGTATTTCTCCTCCAACTGATTGGTTATTTCGACCTAGATCTTAGCAATCGATAGGTTTCAGCAATGTGCATACACTACTCATTGGCTCGTGTGAAGTCTGCAACTGTATGAATTACAGCGTGTATTCCACGTTCAGGTGTCTCAGTTCCGATGTTCCAATTATTACTGAACTGCAAACGCTCATACACAAATCTGTTTGCAAAGTCATGCACTTCACTTCTCAATCTTCAAATAATTTAATTAAATTGATGATTGTAGATATTTATGTATTTGCAAGGCAGTGACTAATTATTCACCGTTGAATATCTATCTAATTTAGAGGCAACACTGGATCAGAGGAACGAACACGGTGAGTCTAATCCAACTTTCATCTCATGTTATAATGACTAGGGCTTTATTCAGTCATCAAAGAAACGTGCGTGCGTGCGTGCGTGTGCGTGTATCTGATGTCGACATTTCAAGGTGACAAATGATTTATTTCCCACTGTAAAATACATCGCATCCTCCATGTACACATTCATACGTGCACTCGACACAACTATGCAGCAGTTAATGACAGACAGTACAGAACTGTTTAAACTTCCGAAGGTGGGATGCCACTCGAAGCTGTAGTCAATAGGTGAAAAGTGACCAATGAGTCCCCATTGCAGTGCCTTCATTGTGTGGAATAGTGCTCAGCAAATTCATAAATATCGATAGAGTCGTCGAGTTTGAACAGACTCAGAAAACGTCCAGCAACATGTAGGTTATCATGCATTCACCGTATATTTCTGGCTTCACAGGTAGATGGATGTGTTTGCTCACACCTTGTTACCATCACTGAGGCAATACTCGTGCTTCAGCTCCAGCTTCTATGCTGTGAAGTCCTGACCACTTCAGATTACTGATAAACTTCACTGGAACAGTTATATTCAAGTTTCAAACTACACTTATTGGTCACTTATAATGTTGACTGACAAACTGCTCATCAGTCCTCATGTTCAATCAAATGTCACCACTCATCAACAACCTATAGTCGGTTCACATGACCTTATGTACAATTCACCTGTTGTTAAACCAATTCATTTCTCAGTGTGATTTCATTGATATTGCTTAGTAGTAGAACTCGTCGACTGAATGTAATTGTATTCGAGTGAGTTCCACATCGCACTCGAACCCATCATCTTCCAGTTCAAACACTATCAAGGTGTTTCTCATTAGGTTATGAGAACCAGGTGGTGTATGACTGATGAGTCTTAGGAAGAGTGAAATGCACCCAGACTCAGGATTCCAATGCTAACGAACATCAACCAAATCTCACTCAATAGTGAGGAATTTATTCAGCAAGCCTATATGTCAATATAAACTAATCGATTTCTACCACTATAACAATGATCAATAGAGACAAGTATTGATTCACTTATCTTTTTTTCAGTCGCTTGATAACAAGATTATTACATATACTATCTGATCAGGATGCAAGTTTGACAAATATTGCGAAACAGGAGGAGGTGAGTTTTAACTGTTCTACATGCAACTGCTATTACCCCTGGTAACTTTTAAGTCACTATACGATGTAAAACATTGAATAACTGAAAAGTGTTTATCTCACTGACTGTAATGGCCACCATATCAACGACTAGAATAGTCAATTAGATTTGTTTATTTCTATTGGAAAGGTTGATCTTCATAAAGTGAATTGTTGACTGCAAGTCTTATCACGATTGGCTTTAGAGTCACTCGTTTATTTTCAATTGAATATGCAAAGAATATGCTTTCAGTTGTTATCAGAGGAGATGCATTCGTGAAGTGATGCAGAACTAGAGAGAAGGAATTTAGTGTATTTATCACCGATATCACCGATATGCAATATAGTGAAGTGAGTGTACTTGTAGGCAGCTTCTAATATCCAAGAGGTTGATACTTGCACATCCATTAGCTACTATAATGTGAAGTGTGAAAATGGATGGATACATGTAAGTTAATAGGATTCAAATAACTTGCAGTTTCCTTCTCGTCTCGACATTGTCAACATTCGTCGACAATATCCAGTGTAGTTTTTGGTTGAATTCACAAGACTAAACATATTGATGTGAACATTTTTCTATTTCCTTTGAAGATAATTAAACTGAGAGATAATTATGTGATAAGTGGACGAGACTCTTCATTTGTGACAAAACTTGGTGAATACTTCAAGGTTTTTGAACAAACAATAGACTGGATGAACATCTACGGTCATGTTATCCGACAGTGGTTGAAAGAGAATTTTAAAAGGAACAAAGCCTGAACGGTATGTGAAAGTAATCAGATTTATGTTCACGTGGAAATGAGTGGAAGCTGTTCGTCATTTAGCTTCCCTAACACTGACTCACACAAACTCGAACAATTTTTGTAGTCCATTTCTACTGAATATTCTATCCAACCGTTCCATGGAATACTTTGCTTTGAATTCATCATGTAACATAGGAATAAATTATACCATGCATAACTCCTCGTTTTCATTCCTCATAAACATGATCATGGTAGCTGTAAGAGGTGGTTAGGCATCAATACTGACTGACTGTAATCGATACCCTTCACTCATGAATTTGATAAGATTAACTCACCGTCATCGAATGCTGACTATCTCACAAACCCAAGTGAATGAATATCAGAAGAGGACACTGCTGACTAACTCTCATTCTATCCAGTGTACAAGTTATCTTCATACTTCTCCGTCCATTCAATTCATATGCAACTGCATACCTTCAAATCTTCTCGCAACATATTTTGATGTGAGTGATTGATAGTGGGTAGCACTAAAATCTACGATGCAAGTTTTTTCCTATTCGAGATTTGTCAGCTGGATGTATTTGCCTGTCAGTGAGTGTCAGTGAGTGATCTCGTCCCCACCACGACTGGAACTCAGGACCGATTGCTTCAATGCACTGGTCGTTGTCCACTAACCTACTGGCTCACGATAGCCACTCCTTGTGTGATGGGTGAAGTATAGTTCTCATTTCACAGTTTCCTGATCTCCATCCGTCTAATCAATGACGCTGATTTACTTATCATAATTTGTTACATGAACTTGTCAGTAAGTACTGAGTTGACTAGAATGAGCATACTCCTTCACTTGATCTGTTTTCACTTTACATCTGCTGGCAGCTTCATTGATTCGCCTGTCTACTGCACAAACAGTGATCAGTTCAAATTTGGGGAGAAGAAGAGTCTCATTGAACAAGTCTTGTAATGAATGAGGAGTACAGTGTACAGCAGTTGCATATACTCATCCATATTGAGAAGAATAACTGGACAAAAAGGTGCCTTTTACTTCCATATTAACCATGGAAAGATGAGTGGAACTAGACATATCTCACATTCATTACGTGTAGTAGGCAGTAGGTAAGTGAGAATGATGAGTTTGGTATAGTTTCTACAGATGAGAGATTAACGATATAGACGAGTTCAATCATCCATTCTCATGATAACTTCAGTCAACACTTCCTTAATTCTGTCCAGTAAAGGTAATCAGTTTATCAATTGATCTGTTAGACAATGATGTATACAGTTTTGATACTCTGAACGGATAAACGGTAGGGTAGACCTTGAAGTAGTTAGCAAGCCGAAACAAATACAACGTCATTTTCATGATGTTGTACAAAGCAAATAAATCGGTGTACGGCTTGCAATTTTAAGAAGTACTATACGAAAACAGTTTCGTTTTCACAACATTTTCAGAGCTGCTTCAACCATCTTTGGTTGGTTGCCTAAACTAACTTCACTGATTCATTATTTACATCTTATAGTGTGAAACGAAATCTAGAAATCGCTTGTATCCAACACAGTTGAACTGTCTATTTTTGACTGGTGTGAATGACACCAGAAGATGTCTTATCTTGTATGCATGACGAACCCATGGACTACTACGCTCTGTGGGTGTCACTTCGCATAGGTGGAAGCGAGTTGAGGAGGGATCATCTAACATGGTGCCTCATCCCAATCCATAGTGTACACTCAATACTGCAGAAATGATGAGTCATTCATTGCTTTATTAAATTCCACAACAAGTCAGCTCTTACCTGCTCTATCTATTCAAAAAACATGAATCAATAATCATAATAGAATTTGAATTGTTAATCAATACCATAGGCTCCAATGCTTCTCCATTATCTGGGTCAGTACCTCTATACATACATATACATACACTATATACTTTGTACTATATATATATATATATATATATATATATATATATATATATATACATGGGCTAATTTCTGAAAGCAATTTGAGGGGAGAAACAAAGCAAAGAGAGGAAATTTGAGTAACGCTAAGGACCACCCCAGCTACCACTGAAATAACAACTCCATTTCCAGCCACAACGGCAGTCGCTTTATCCGGAATAATGGAAATTAATTAGTCCGTCATTCCACTAGACATTCGAGTGATCTTTAAAGCCATCCAGAAGAATCTCGCCTCCTTATTATTCAACAAAGTGGAATCAAATGAAATATTCACCTTCATTCTTTCATTGTCATAATGACTGACTGACTGACTGACTGACTGACTGACAATCAACGTCACTTGTCTTACTGATTATTTCTCATTCTTGTGATATGATGAATGGCGACAGATTTAATTGGGCTGTCAACGTTTCAACACACATTGAAATTGTCTTAGTTAGAGAAGAGACGGATGTCAGTCAATAAAGCGAGCTGTCATACAAGCCATTTTGTAAAAATAAGCAAAGAAAATGTGTGTTTTGGTGTTATTGTTTGTTGGTTGCAATGGATGAATGGATGGATGGATCGTCAAGACTTGGTGGGATGAGATAGGAGAATATCTCGGTGAGTGAGTGGTTCAGTTGGCCTGTCTTGACGTAGTGGCGTGTGATCACAATTATCCACCTGAGCTACAAATACGCCTCATCATTTCATAAAGTGTATACATTCACTGTCAGACAAGAGAAACTGGTACCTATGCAGAACGGTGATTGAATGTGAAATGGAATGAGACCATGTTCGCTTACTGGTGAGATGAACAGTAGCAAGAGAAAGACACACTTCCCACTGATCGATGACATGGTTAAACAGCGCACTCACTAGAGTAGTAACTAGGTAATCCCGTTATCACTTTGCATCGTTGTAATTATCTTCAGCAACCACATGTGGTTGGCATAGTATGTATCTGCCTAGTGTCTAATACCCAGTCCACCCATCCACACGATAAGTCCCTCAGTCCCAGCCTCCAAACCAACCGCATACAACACAGCATCAAGTCTGTCACTTATTGACTCAACTTATTTCAGGCCATCTGATTCATCGGTGTGTATACAATCAAATCAGCTAACCACAACGCATCGTAGTTCTTTATGACGAGACAATCGATTTCAAGAACAGCAAATGAGATGCTGCACAATAATCGATTGATTCCACTTAACAAGCAATTTTCTCCGAACTACAAGTCACACACAAGTGGGTCAATGGTCAATCGAAAGCTCCTCAACCGAGCAAGCTATACAATTAAGTCATAAGTAAAATAACTTTGAAAGTGGAATAAAAGTTGATGAGATCACTGACACTTATCTGACATCCACATCCCGTTCCCTCTCCACTCCGTCTATCGGCTGATATAACAACCATGAGGATTTGATTGTTCATCACTCAATGATAAGTCGAAGATTTTGCCTCTAAGTAGTTGCTTCATGATTCCAGATATACCAACAGGCTCGGAAACTAGGTGGAGCAGGGCTTCATGCTGACTCACTCCCACTGCCTAACACAGAGTGTTACTGTGCGGTTTCTTCAGTTGAATTGTGAAATAAATATCCACACATGGAGGGAACTTGAACTAGAAATGCAGCATGAAGCAGGAAGAACAAGCATTCTAATTGTTATGCATATATTCCAGGCATTTCCAAAAAGGAGGTTCCACTAAACACTCCATATAAACTCGATGACACAATATCAAATTACCTGTAATTCATTCGATTTATATAGTCACGGTAGTACAGACTTTGTTACACTTCACAGATAACCATTAGCATTGCAGTATTATTCATAGTAGCATAGAACAGTAATAACCAATGGCAGTGTAGATAGATAGACAGACATATGCACACAAGCACATTTGTGACTGGATGACAAATGAAAAATGCATGCACCATATGTCTGTCTGACCTGTCACACATCATCACAGTTACACTCTCGTCTCAAGGTCAGTTGAAGATGTGTTTGTGAAGAGCAGAAGAAACACGATCCTACACCTGAGTAGCTGTTGACAGACTCAATCACCTTGTAAGCCGAGAAACCGAGGTGTTGCACATGTTTTCAATGCTCTTTTAATTCAGTCAAAGAGAAGAGATAATTCAGGGAGAGAATTCTCTTTTTCGACGATATCATTTCCTGAAGCTTTACAATCGTATTCATATATATCATAAACATATAACAGTCCATTATAAAACAATAGAGTATAATTGCTACATCAGTAACCTAGTGCTAAAATACAACCAGAATCAAGAATGCAAAGTAGTCGCCTAATAATCTGAGACAGTAGAAATATCGAGGAAGGCAAGGAGTTTGACAAGGTGGAAATTGTTGGTAGATAAGAAACGCAAATATTGAGTGTCCACTTGACAGCAGATAGATGTGAGGAAGGTGAAGAATGAGACAAGGGTCATAATGAAGGTGATAATAATAAACTAATTGATTATAATGAAATGGAAGATAGAATGTGAAAGTGTTAAGACCATGGTAAGATGAGAGATTGAACATACTTGTTTTGCAGGCAGAGATCAGGTTTGAATTGATGAATCGCCAGTGCCTCTGCTGTGCACAACTGTCGAAGGTGTACTCCTTTTCAACTATTCCATCTGACACGATAAATGACATTGAAGGAAGATTCTGGTCTGGTGTAGCTTATGTCCAGAGTTGACCAAATGTTGAGAATTGAACTGTTAATTGATTACATTCTCCCCTCGACAACCATGCAGGATAGTGCTCCGAGATATGTTTGGAAAGTGTGCGCTTTGTGCGCCTATATAACTAGCTGCAAAGGAAGGATCAAGTAAATTTGTAGACACACATCGAGGTGGGCCAAAGTGGTAACTTGTCCTTAACGCACTCCGGAATGAGTTGTTGACCAGAGAAGCTGATCTGTAGTTCTGCAGAGAAGAATGTCTTCTTCAGTGATCTGGACAGCAGATTCTTCAGGATCTCCGCTGCCATATCGTCTTTGAAAACAACGTTCATAAACAAGTTCTTCTCAGGAACTGTCAGTAATCTCTCCATATTCTGATTCACTTTC